CGTTACATAAACCCTTTAGCCTTTGATATCCTTATATTATTGCCGGCCTATCACCTCAATATCTTGTCGTAATGTGTTATTATTTTGCTTTGTCCCTGATGCTCTTCTCACCCAATGATAGTAACAGCTTTCGCAGATCATCGCATACCTTATCAGGATTCTGGTTCGAATCAACAACATGACAGCGTCCTTGAGCCTTGTAAGTCTCTATAACGGGTTCACATTGAGCGTGATGGACGCGGAGGCGGTTCCTGATTACTTCCAACACATCATCCTCGCGCTTGTTGTCACCTTGCTCTTGGCCCCGAGCCTGAAGCCGTTTCTCCATAGTTTCATCGCTGCAATTTAAGTAAATTACCCCAGCTGCAGGTGCGATGCTTTCCTCAAACATCTGTCCTTGCCTTATTGTTCTTGGGAAACCGTCGATAAGATAGCCATTTGGGTTGGGGTTGCTCTTTATAGCCTGGTGGATCAAATTGACAGTAGTTTCGTCCGGGACGATATTGCCAGAGATCATGTAACTTCGGATTACCTTGGCTGCTTCATCGTTGCGCGACCTTGAGGCTTGACGGAGGAGATCGCCAGCACTGTAATGCGTGTAGCCAAACGTCTCGACGAGGTGGACGCAGGCCGTCGTCTTTCCTGATCCAGGTCCACCGAGAACGAAGAATACCTTGATGGTTTCTGTGGGCTGTTTATCGGGCATGAGTGAGCGTTGTTGGGATGTTAGATATGTTGTTTTTATCTTCGGGAAAGCAATTGAGGTGAACAAACCTAGAATGAAGATGAGGCGTGAAGAAGGAAATGATACCACTCGATGAAGGAATGTAGAAATGATCTCCATATCGCTCCCGCGTATTCAGCACCTTTGCTTCAGCGCCCGCTACGTCGTCATCATTTTTGCGTGACACCACACCTTCTTCTAGTATTTCCGCATCTTGCACTTCAATGGAAGAGTGATGACTAACAGTGGAACCCGCGAAAGCAGTGACAACTGCATATGTACAGAACCACGATGTAACTGCACAAAGGTTAAAAATAGTATATAATACATTGCTTTTATGAATATACAACTATACAAACTGAAAATAGTAAAGACCTAATAGAAGGGATTCCAATGCAAGAAAAAGACCCTTTCCCGCCCCGCCTTTCATCATCCTTTCTGTCCGTGAGCCTCACGGCACAACCTGCATGCTTCGACGAGCCTTGTTGTATCTCCAACGTACGTACTCGCCTGGGCGACGGTACCTCGGATCGAGCCTCAGATCGATAATAGCCTCCTGTGCTGTGGTGCCGGCTGCGTCGCGAATCGCGCGCTGCCGATCCCACTCACGACCCTTCAGCAACGTGCGCCGCTTCTCCATATCAGCATTGATCACCACCCCGTCTACTCCACTTACCATCGGGGCTCTGCGTGCACAGACTTCCCGCAGAAAGGGCTTGACCAGAAGCGCTACGCCGGTGGGAGATTCCTCCGACTCATCGCCGTCCGCTTCCTCCTCTTCGCCGCCGTCGACGTCACCACGTGGGACCTCCGCTCGCGCGCTGGAGGCCATTAAGCCCGTCGAAGAGGCGCCGACCGCCGCGCGGCGCCGCAGCAACCGCCCGTTGCACAGTACAATCGCGCTGTCGAGGTGCCCATCATCGAGCACGCCGGTAACCGCGAGGTCGCCACCCCGCATCACCACCGCGTTGTCATCGTCGTCGCCTAAGGCCCCCGCGACGGGCACGACCCCGGCGATCAGCCGCCCGAACATCCGCTGCTCGACCTCACGGAGGGACGCCAGACGCTCCGAGATCGTCCCCTCGTAAAGATCCGGCACAATGCTGTTGTAGTCGCGCAGGGGGACCACACCGGGGGTGCCCGCACACTGGGTAAAAGCCGAGGGCCCTTCACGCAGTCTGTCGGATACTAACCAAGGAGCCTCCTTGCTCAAGTAACGGTACCAATTGCTCAGTCTTCTGCTCTCCGATCGTGGTACTCGCACGGTGTTGAGTTCAGACTGTGACGCATGCCGAGAAGCATAGCTACCTTCATGAACAAAGCGTGGCTGCGCTGCGTGTGCACGTATCCATCTTAATCTCTGACTGTAGTTAGCCGGTAGGGTATAAAGCATTTGAGTGCGTGGTTGGTATTTGTGGCGGTTGCTTGATGGAGCTCTTGTGAGGGTGCTCTGCATCATCTGCACCGCTTTTCTATCTCCCTTCGTGGATTCATCTGTACGGGAGGTCGTGCTGAGAGAGCGACGAGTGTGCATGCCGCGCAGCAGCATCTCGACGTCTTTCCCGGCATGCCACCTAGCCGCTCTTTTCTGGGGACTCGCCGTGGGTGGTTTTGAGGGAGGATTCGGCATGAACAACTTCCTCAGCGCCTTGGAAACCCCCTCCACAGCGCTCGGCACTGGCTTTTGTGCTTGTTCTTCAGACAGATCAACTGTATCATCCTGAGAGGGTGGGAGTTGGGTTTTTGTAGGTGGAGGTGGAGAGCTTTCTTGAGGTGCCTGTGATGGGAATACCTCCGAATGAGGACATGATGTTTCCCCTAATCCTGAAGTAAACCCCTTTGATTGCATTGAGGAGTGATCATCATACTCAGCACGCTTCTCTTGCGGTGACTCGCCTGAGAGGTTACTCTGCCGTTGTGTCCGTGGTGTTCGTCCCTTTTCTTGTTTTCCACGTTCCAAAGTAAGGATTCTATCAGCTACACGAATTGTATGATTTTTTTCTGCACGGGACAAGCTGGATGACACATTGTAAGAGGCTGTCCAGGGCCGGAGCACCGTGCACTCTACACCATGGTATTGGTGAATGCGAGGGGTAAAGTCATAAGGGACTTCCCATGAGCATGAATGCCCGCTCAAACAAGATCGATAACACATTCCTTCGAATATGGAAAGCCTTAAATATTCCTTTTGTTAACCTTACTAAATGTTAGGATGCATAATCAGACAGTACCATTCAAGCTACGAAGAAAAGTTCATTGTTGAAGTCCACACAAAATCCAGCTTGCGATTATTCTAAAAATTTCTTTTTGATTGTTCAGATCGTAAAGTTTTGTGAATCCTTTTAATTTTGTGTTTCATGTTTCTCTTGATTTTATAGATTGCTCCAACGATAGGCTTCGATTTTTTATCTTCGCTGGATCATGAGTACACCTATACGGTCGCTCGAAATCAAGAATAACAACAGCAGGTAAAGAAAGCTATTGTCTACATTGAGAATATCAACATATATAATATACAAGAATCTCATCAAAAATGATCAGGTCACTACTTCTAGGAAAAAACGGAGACAGCCAAAATGTTATTCGTCGTTTCACCAGCTTAACTAGTTGAGGAAATAGTGGTTATGAATGATCGCCACCGCCGCACTGCCGCTCCACCAGCCACTATCACTGTGTACGGCTTTCATCGCCCCACATCGCATAACCCCATCATCCGATTCCATGCACTTAGACGGAGCAGCTGCCACTTTCCCCGCGGAATCGGCCTCATGCGGTGCCTCATCGCACATCCCGCACGACGGCAAGCCGCAGGGTGATACCACCATCCCACCGTGCTCCTCCGCGCGATCCAGCATACGATCCAGCACGGCGTTCACAACATCCAAGTCGAGAGCCGCCGTGTCGAGAGACAACGCCTGCAGCGGCGGCCGTTTTCTCTGGATGCCCGCGGCGGTTGGGGGTGGGACAGGCACCGCCGCAGGAGGTCGCGGCCGAAGCAAGTTCGTGCCTACGTGAGCACAGGACTGGGGGCTGCCGTTCTCCTGTGCGTAGGACGAGGAATGAAAGGCCGCGGTGGCGGCCTCCGAGCCCACGCGCGCACCGCAGTGGGGGCAAAAAGACCAACAAGCAGCTTGGGTGGTAGGGTTTTGCGCATGGGAGGGCGATGCTGGAATGAGATGTGAAATTCCGTCCGCTTTCACTACGCCCTCAGGGGTTGTAAGATATTCTAATCGTGATGGCATCGGCACATTACAATCCAGCGCGGGAGAGGCCATCCTATCGTCCACCAGCCTTTCGCTTGATTCGACTGCATTCCTAACCGCAAATGCTGCGGAGGGCGGTATATCAACAGGTATCGTGGGAATAGCTAGCTCCTGGACAGGTAGAGGGTAGGTACTACGATCAACATTCTCTGGATCCACCTCAGGAGCTATCGCTACGATATTGGGCAAAGAATACGGCAGCGACTGTGCACTATAACTCCGCCCGCCACTATCTTTGATCGTGCGTGCAGGGCTCCACATTTCACTTTGGTTTGCTGGTCTGTTTAGCGTCGTTTCACTTCTGCCCTTAGTAAGCACAACACGGGGCTGGCGAAGTGGAAAAGATGGTGGTGGAGGACAGTCACAGGACGTTTCCTCAACACGATAGAGCGCCGTGCCATCGATGTTAAGGGATCGTTTAATCTTACCATGAATACGGCGGCAGTACGATGGACGCTTCATCAAAACCCGCTTATACAAATCGAAGCGAGTGTTAGTGCCCCCACAAAGCCCTCCGAGTTGTTGATCCACCGCTTACTTTCCTTTTTCCTTGTGCTTTTTAGTGAAAGAAAAAGACTTTTGAGAGAGAAAGTTTGTAGAGTACATCACTTTTGTTTTCACTAATGTGATTACAGAAATAACTGAAGACACGCCGACTTGACGGCCTCTTTGAGGAAACCACAATATTGACGTTCCGGATATTCTCACCATTTACTTTTTAACCAATATATATCTATATCATTACATATATATATATATATATATGTGATCATATTAGCGTATTTGCTGTATAATATTCCTCAACGCAAGCGGCATGTAAAGTTATGATCAGTCCGGGGCTGATCCCGAATTAGTGGCCAGAGGAGCCCATTCCACAGTGCGGGCACCATGCAACTTCGCACACTTTCCCGCACCAGCCGCGTCGTGTCGTGAAGGTCGTGCAGGTTAACCAGAATCGAATTACGCGATATTTCCGCCGCCAGCGGTGTGGACGGCGCGCTGGACGAGACATCGGCAGCCGGCCGCACCACACAGTAATCTATGCCGCTAAGGAGCAAGGAAACGCTGCCAACGCTGTCTATGAAACAGTGATATAATTCGTTGTGAGCACAAGCTCTAAGGGAGTGGCAACTGCCACTACTGCCGGGCATATCCACATCAAAGATCGCCCAGGCCTCCTGCAGGGGTGGCGGTGAGCATACCGCTTTCTCCTGAGTGGACGCTATAGGGTAAGGAGAGGCTAGAGGAGCAGTGGGATGATCCGTTTCGCTCGTGGATACTGAGCGCGATGAGCGCAGTCGCGGCATAGGCGCGCGACTCGAGCTACGCGACCTGAATGCGTAGAGCTTGGCACCGAGGATTACCTTGACTTCATCATCTTCAGCGTCATTTTCCTTTTTAATAGTAACATCAGCCTTGACAGCCTCTTTCTTCACCTCAGCCTTGTCCTTTTCGGTTGTATGTACAGCTGGGGAAACGTAGCGGTCAAGTTTTTGATGTGCGAGTAGCTCGTGAAGCAGGACATCCGTCAGATACCGCCGTCGCAGAGGCATCAAAAGCACTCTATCCGTGTTCCTTGACATTACATCCACGACGACAAACAGGTCATCCTCTGGCGGCGGGCAGCGCATCTGGGGGCCGTAGCTCGCTGGCCCCCATAACGGGGAGGGACGGCGTCGCCAGACCACATCTCCAATGCCCAGAGCATACCGGTAGTCACCTCCATAGCGCTGCCAGCCGCGCTGCTCGCTGTTCTTCACGGCCCCGACCGTCCCCATGATGGGCCTAGCGTTGAGCAGAGCGGCGTCCGCGTAGGGCACGAGCGCGCCGTCGGCCACCGCCACCCGCTCCAACTTCGCGTCGTACTCCTCGCCATACGTCCACGCCAGGAGCGGTGTGCCCGCCTCAATATCCGCCGTCGTAATGAAAAAAGGTAGCGTTACAAAGTGGCTGTGCTCCTCCAGAAAGACGGAACGCATCTTTGTACGTTGCCGTCGTCTGGGCGGTTTGGAATCTCTCACAGAGGACGCCGACGCACCGCCACGCAGGGAAGCAACGGCGCTGCCATTGGAAGCGTACGATTCGACGGACGCCTTCGATTGATAAAAAGTTGAAGAAAGGTGCTTGGCAATATCGACATCGCTGGGTGTGGGCGGTGGAGGGGTGGTACCACTCCAGATCTTGACTTTTCGTATCGCAGCACTTTTCGCAGTCGCTGAGAGCTTGTGGCTCTTAGCACGGGAACCGGACTTTGGGTTGGTCCGCGATTTGTCTCTTTTACCGTCACTTGGTGTCGAGAAGCCACTGAGAACGGATAACATCACCGAACAGAGCTCAACGTTACCAAAGCGGCTCAAGTTATAGCGGTGATTGATATAACGGGCGATGCCCTGGCCAAAACACACTCCATGCCTACCCAGACCCAAGGCGTAGGTGTCGTCAGTAGCGAAAGATAAGTCTTCTTCTGCCGCCTTGGTAGTCAGAATTGCCCGCTGGTTCACAGAAACATCTTGCAGAGAAACGCGATTGCTAGTGGACGGTTCCTCCTTTCCTTTGTCCACAGCAAAATCAGCTCTCCCTTGTTCGTTTAACAAAGCAGTAGGGCTTCGCCCTTCGAGTACTTTCAGGAGTCCTGGTTTGGTCTCATAGGCTATCTTCTCAACCTTCTTGGTGGCGACCGCAGGTCCTGTGTACAGCAGGCACGTTGCGTAGGGCAGAAACGCCGCTGCCGCGACGCCCAGCTCGCCCTCACCCAGCTCCGGGGCGGGCGCGAGGTCGACCAGTGTGAAGGGAAAGCCCGCCCTCGGGCTGTCGTCGGCATGGCGCCGGCCAACACCGTGGTAGTACGCCAGTGACTTTGGCCACAGCTTGAACTCCTTCACACCGTTGTGCAGCTCCCCTGACAGCGGATTGAGTGTCGCGATGTCATCAGCCTTGCCGGTTGAGCGAGGAGGATGTGAAGAGGTGTAGCGGCGGCCATACCACGCCGACTCATCTAGGCAGCGGTGATAAGATTCCAGAGAGACTCGCACTTCTTCCCCACTCGCAATATGTGTGGTGCTTACGACAGCGATGAGTGTTGCCCGGCGGTAGTATGGCGCCTGACGTGAGTTGTTGCTCGTTGCCGAATCTGCGGAACAATCATGAGAAACCCCCATATTCCCCGTTTCTTCGCACGGACTGTGAGCTGGTAGGCCATAATGGAGTGCGATGCAACGCGCGTTGGGGGATGAGGAATGCGATGAAAGCGAGCTATTCACGAGATTACCACCCCTGTCAGAGTTGGTAGCCCGTTTACGAGAGACCTTTTTATTGTTACCCCGAGCACAGGGAGGAGCACTCATGGAGCGGAACAGCGTAGGAACGCGAAAACTGGACGAGGGGCAGTTCACAGACCCCAGTGCGGTGCGCACCTCTGAGTCGGATGCCTCCCACAGATGCTGGATCCCTTGCGCGTACAAAGCCTCCGCGCGACACATCAACTCCGCAAAGACGGCGTCCCCCTCCACTGCCAACACAGAATGGCGCAGGAAATACCGCTGAGCCTGCACCACGGTGCCTATTTTTGGCTTCTGTAGCTTTCGGACACCAATCATGCAGATACTGCGTCCACGACGCTTTGCCTTTTTGACCTCCTCGTCGGAAAGACCCACATAATCCCTGATAAAGGCGGCATACCGCTCACTATGGTAGGAGACGCGGCTTTGCCCTGGAGGCGGCGCCGACGCAAGGGGCGGCGGCGGGGGGTGCGGCCACCACTGCCACCACGGCATCTCATGCGGCGGGCGCTGCTCAGGAGAGGGGAGAGGCGCCCCCCCTCGCCGCCTCCCCCCTGCACTCGCCACGGCGTAGGGCAACTGCTGCACGTGATGGGCATCGCGCAGGGAGCGAGGAGAGGGAGGCGCCGCCCCCTCCTGCCACCCGCCCGCGCAGGCAACCCCCGTCACGTCCTCGCCGTCACGCGGCGGCTGCGAGAAGAGCGGGAAGAGGTCCTCAGCGATCCCCTCGTCACCGTTGGCATCACCACCGTAGCCATCGGTGCTGCGCGGGGCGTCGTCGCCGGTGGACTCCTTGAGTGGTGCGGGGAGAGAGAGATCCTGTGGCATACCCTTGCCGTCAGCGAGCAGCACCCAAAGCTATTTTTCACTAGTCCGTGGATTGGAAAGATGTCTTATTACTTCTATATATTGGCCCAATGTAACATATCAGCCAGCAAACAAGACAAAAAAGACTGGTTCTTTTGAGGGTTAACAAACATATATATATATATATATATATATATGTGACTTAGAGGATGAAAGAATAGCATGCAAAGTTACAATAATTAAAGACTCAATTTCACTTCCTTTACTCCAGTTGGAGGGGAAGAAACACATCTCTAAGCCTATCACGAAAGGCCTTCATATTATATATATATTTTTGAAAGAAAATAATTGAACAACAGCGTCACGATGAAGCATATATATTATATATCCTTCTATCATAGGTTAATTGTCATGCCTTTTTAGGAATTCTACCATTTATAACATTAGTGGTTTATAAAGTAAGTAGTGACATACAGCTCAGATTGCATGGCGATGTGTTTAAACTTCTTCTTGCCCCTCCTCATCGCTTAAGTGAACAATTACTCATCATCTAGTAGGTTCGACGTGACGTAGGATGACACCTTTGCAGGAGCGGGCGCAGGCGCGGGAGCTTCTCCAGGCAACTGCACACCGGTATAGCCTCTACCTACACGTGAACGCCTATCCAAATTCAGAGTAGCACCGTCTTTCTGCAGAAGCTCAACCTCCTTTCGAATTTTGTAGAGTTTGATGTCATTTTTACCGTACTTCACTGGATCTAGATTTTTTGATTGAAACTCACTGATAAGGTAGTCATTCAGATAGGAGTTTAGAGACTCGTCTTCACGCGGTGAGCGCACTTGGTATCCAAGTTTCCTTAAGCAGTTCGCCATCCCTTTGCATCGCTCAGCTATCAGCAAGCCACTGTCACCAGCGGGCTGCGCCTGGGAATGGTTGGGCTCGCCTTTTGAACCATCCTCGCCCTCTAAGCGTGTGCGCGTGAGCTTAGGCTCCTGCGATGACGCGTCTTCACTCTCACACTCAGTCTCACTATCATCATCATCATCTTCTTCTTCTTCATCGTAGTCTGAGTCATTATATTGTTCATCATTGCTTTCGTCATCGTCGTCTTCGCTACTATCATCGTAGTCGTCGTCGTCGATTTCGATTTCACTTCCGGAGTCAACCGCGCGCTTACAATTGCCAGCCTTTATAACATCCCCATTGCAATTAGGTGATGCTGGCGCGGTGGCTGCTACCATTTCATTAGCCTTCTTTGCTTTCAAAAAGCTCGCTATCATGCCCTCTATAAGATGTCCTTTGCTAGCAACATAGGACTCCGGATAGGTTTCTGCATACCTGGTCCGGAGCAGCTGCTGGACGACCGCAGAAGAGATACTCTTACCTGGAGGCAGGCGCGAGACCATCACCTGAAGAAGATTGCTGAGCTTTTGATCAAGTTCAGACTCGGGCATGATGGATGTGGGGTTTGCCATAGCACAGGGACAAAGTTAGTGATACCCAGAGGGTCTCTATGTTAGGTGTATGGCGTGCAAATGTAATTTTTCAAAATCTGACCTCAACTCGTATATGCACGCTTCTCCTTTACAGATCGTTAGCTTTAGTTCCAGGCGACAAGTAATTAATGATCTATTGTTTTCGTCCTGTTTTGGACGGTTGATCGTTCCCCGACGTTCGAAGTTTCTACAGTCGCACTTTCAGCGTCTCTGTATGTATATCTAAAAAAAATAAGACTTTATGTGAGCTGTACTGTCGTCGTTTTAGAGAAAAGGGGCTTCGAGACAGTTTTTTTCACACAGGGAAGGAAAAGAAAAAAATAGATATGACAAGAAAAGGAATCATATGGTCATTATTTTGTACAAAATGCTAGATACACGTCTGTAAGCATTGTATACACACCAGAAATGTGTTCTACAAACACTTTAGATCATAGCATTTGATTGGATGAAGAAGTACACATCGACATAACTTGTAATATACAACATGTTCATGATTTTGCCCTAGATGCCATCATGACAGTGATCTTGTTTAAGTTATCTTAGATTCATATCAAACCCCGACACCTCGAGTGTCGAATAACTTTCACAAAAGGTCGATGACCAAGTGCTGTCTAGCGGCGACCGTTCAACGATTCTATGGGGGATGGCCAGTTCGTGAGCAGCCTTTCACACTACCCTACCACTGCGATGGCCCAGAGAACATTTTGCACACAGTTGGTTGCGTATTAATTCACACAACTTTCTCAAGCAGAAGCGTATGTTCAGTGTTGTTGATGTCATCAGGCACATCATATAGTCTATCCGGTATTGGAAATGCTTCATTATGCTGTGTGGTAATATCGCCCTCACCCCGTGTTGCTAGTCGTGAGTGCATCTTCCGCATCTGCCTGCGCAGCGCACCCACTAAGAGATCCTTGCGTGTGATCATGCCACAGACCTCATCACCGTCGACAACTACCAAGTGGCGGAGGCCCATGCTGCGAAACATCTTATAGCACATATGCAAATTGAAAAACGGCGTAACTACCCATGGGCTGCGATTAAGGATCAGGGAAAGGTCCACAACCTTAGGCAGATGCGTGTGCTCAGGGCTCGCGGCCAGAAGCGCATTACCGTCGGCGGCTGCCGCCCCAATCGCCGCGGTGGAGTAATACTGTGATCTGGGCGCGATGTCATCACCACGGAGAGGGGCGTGGAACTTCACCCAGTCGTCGTGGTTAGCGACTTTCAGAAAGAGAGATGTTTTGTGGTCATGCCACTCTTCCCAGCTCATTCGGTTGATCACCTGAACACTCGGCGCGAGGCGGCCACCAAACCCATCACTCTCTGGGTCGTTTGGAGGCAGTTTTGCGTTATCCCAACTGCTGGGTGATGGTGGAAACTCGCGGAAGTTGGGTAACGTGAAATAAACCTGAAGATCCTCACGCGTAACGAGGCCGACGAACTTGTAGCGAGGCCCTCGACTCCAGTCACCGTCAGGGCTTGTACTGGGGATGTTTCCTTGTCGGGGACCATCTCCTGTTACATTGCACCTTAGCGTTCGGCCGCCACACTGAGTTCGGTCACCACTTTCATATGTTGCCTCCACAACAGGAAAAGCGTGATGAGTCGTATTCAGTAAGGCCGACAGAACGACCTCAGTCCGTTCGCGTCGTCTGAGGATCACCACGTTTGTGCTCATGACATCGGCGACCGCAAGCTGTTCGAAATCGGGGTGCGGCAGATTTGCACTTAGGTACGGCACACAGCTGAGATGTAATATTTCGTGGTAAAGGGGCTTACTGAGTCTGTCAGCCACCGACTTTGACACCACGATGGCCACCATCACTGGCAAAAGGTAGTGCAGCTCTGAGGAAAGCTCGACCATGATGACGCAGATCGAGATAGTCATGCGTGAGGTGCCAGCCAGAAAAGCACCAGCACCAATCAGCGCGAACACACCAGGATCCATCCAAGCATCTGTGCAGAGATATCCACGATCCACACCCGCACCCGTAGACCCCATATGCCATAAAAAGAGACCAAACAACCTACCAAAAGTAGCACCAATGACGAGACTGGGAACAACGAGCCCACCAGACACGGCTGCACCGCTGGAAAGGCATGCAAACGCGAAGTATATCACAAAGTTGCACAAAAGGGTGTATCCAGGGAACTCGAGGATAGTCTGTCTGGTGAAGAGGTGACGAATTACCTTCTTCCCTGTATCCATGCTAAGAGTACCGAACGGCGTGTAGGTGCCAGATTCGGTGCAAGTACTATTGAAGAGATAACTCTGGGGCTCGGTGCCCCATACGCAAATGGTCTCGTTTGGATTCGCGATGTCTTTGAAAGGATAGCACATGGAATGAAATGAGAAGCTATATATCAGCGCACTATACAGACTGGCAAGCAGCACAGGTTCAAGAAAACGACGCAACGGGGTCGTCAGCAGTACCTGTCGGCGCCACTTTATGAGAATCAGGTTAACTTTAGTAAAGAGGGCGGCTAAAGCGCCAAGCATAGCACCAAGGAGAAGCGAAGGAACGATCGAGATGAGTTTCAGAGGAATCATCAAGTCCACCTCAAAGAGCAGCAGCACCGTGTTGGAGATCCACCCCAGCGGCCGCTGATTCTCCACGAGAGAGTTGATGATGCTGCTCATCGTAAAGCAAAGCATGGTGGCAAGGAAGATTCTTCCGCTGGCCGTGTGGTCCCAAAAACTGCACATCTCCTCCATCACAAAAAGCAGGCCACCTATGGGGGCCCCAAAGGCCGTACTGACGCCACACGCCGCACCAGCTGTGATGAACTCTCGGCGATCCATGTGGTTTCGAAACTCCTGGAAAAAAGAGGTCTGAAACCCCAACGTCCGGCTGCGCCCCTGCGTAACGCCGGCGCCGGTGATGGCCCCAAGGTGTATAAGCGGGGCCTCCAGGCCCACTGGCAGCCCGCTGGCCACTGCACACACACACGAGATCGCCTTCGCAGCAAAGGTGCGCACGTTCATGGCCCTGGGAAGGTGCACACCGTTAAGATATGTAATAACATCCGGGATGCCGCCTCCGGCCGCAGCAGGCTCAACGTAAACTACCACAGCACCCGCGACAGCCGCAAGCCCAACTGAAACACTAACAAAAAACACAAGACCAAGCGAGTAGCTCAGCATGCGGACTGACGAGGAATGAATCACCAAGTCCAGTGTGTTGAATCGCCATGATTCAATGAACTCAACAAGGTATAACACCAAAGTTGCGATCATACCTACCAAAATAGCAATGACGACGTGTAGAAACCAACGCAGAGGTATGTGGCGGTCCTCCTCGTTATAATTTGGTGAGACCCCCCCACAACGGGAACCCGGCCCTTGGCTTGCTTGGCGCACGTTTGAGCCGCTGAAATTATCATCATCCCTATTGACAGCACCAGTGAAGCCGTCGATGTGATCGAGTGTGGTATTATTCACCGACGCCCCCCCCTCGCGCGCTTTTTCTTCAGTCCATGCTGTAGTGTCACGTTTCCTCAGATGCTCCATATATACATCTGTGTAGGACTTGTAATAATCAAAGCTTTCAAAAGTAGATTGCTTGACAAGCTCATCGGGCGATAGATCTTCTGCGTGTAAAATGGATGAATTCGCTCTTCCATGCCGCTTTCTTTTTCCAAAAATCAACAAGAACTGACGACAAAACACACTCCATAACATCTAGAGCTTCAAGATGCTCAAACAAACGTTCCTCTCTTTCAATAAGCCTCCTCAGAGTTTCCTATAATTATGGTAGGTTGGCGCGCTTATAAAGCAGTCCAATTTCCAGTTGGTCAATAAATAGGCGGAACCTAAATCACAGACGCAGTTACATGTACTGTGTAATGGGTGCCTGGAGTGGGTATGCTGGCTTTGCACGGTATAGCGGGAATAAGCATTTACTAATAAATTCGAAGGATATAAGAAGATAAATCAAAATGAGAATGAGAAAATCACTATCGTTGACAGACACAATGATTTTAACAAAGAAAGTCTTGATAGAACAAGCTATGGTTCATCCACAGGTGAACTCCCTTTATTTAACTTAGCCTTAAACTTGACCTTTTATTCGCAAGCGGCAAAACACTGAATATCAGCAACAGTACCAGTATATTTCTCTCTACTGCTTGTGAGTGTACTAAAAAGGAAGTCCCTGTCAACGGCTCCTGTCATTACCTAGGCTAAGGAGGGTGGAAACACTATACTGCCAAGCGACATTATCCACGGCTCTTCGAGTATCTTACGCACGAAAGGAAGGAAGCTCTCGTAGCAACTGCGCTCTGTCAGACACATCATTTTAGCGTTGTCGCTTACTTTTGCGTGCTAAGTAACGTTCCACCGCATGCTTACCGCCCTTTTGTTCTAAACTTTCGAATCTATCAGCGTATACGGCCTTTTTAATGACGCTGCGTTTCGGAAAGTAAGGCCTTGCTTTCTCATTTGCCTTCACTGCCCGCACCTCCTTAGACATCATTTCCTTCTTTACCTGTGCTTTCCTCGATGCGGCTGCGTTGCCTTTTGTCTTAGATTTGTATAGTTGCGATTCTCGCTTTAACTTATCAAGTTCTGCATGAATGCGTTCTGGTGGTGTCAGCTTGAGGAGGGTTAGCTCTTGCAGGTGATCCTCACCAAAGATCTCACGCTCATCGTCGGACAAATCATATTCCGCGAGATTCTCTCCGGCATCCTCCAAGGCAATACGCCGGAGAATACACTTAAGACAGCGAATACGATGCTGCCGACGGGCCTCTTCCTCTTCGAACTGTTCATGAAGAAATTTGTAATTGTTTTCAAACTGACGGAGGTCGGCCCTACCAAACATTTGATCAAAACGAGGATCAATAGGTTGATGCCGTTTGAGTGAAGGTAGAGAGCAGCCTTCAGACCTCATGGAATGATTTCGCCGGGCGGGCTTTCTGTGGGCGCTACGCGCCGGTGGGGGTCCGTCGTCATCGTTGCTCATTATTATTTTTTACTTCAATGGATTCCCTACAACAGAACTGTGTCGTGCGTGCACACAAAGAAGAAGCACTGTCCAAAGCACACACACACACACGTACAAAGGGTTTAAATTCTGTTCTTTTTAGAGAGAAACTTTCCTGACGTGAGGAACAAAAGGAGAGGAAAGAGCGTAACAGGTAATGGATAAGGTAATGGTAGTATTCCCTCCCACATGACTTGACACAGAGTCGCGTCAGTTGAATCTTCTACTGCACGCAGCCCCCTCTGCATCTACAGGAGTATACTTCTAAAAGGAATAAGAACTAATACACTCTTCAAGAAACTATCGTGTTTCGTTATGATTGGTTTTAGTCTTAAAAAGCGACGCCATTTGCTGTAGGAAGCTTTCCGACACAAAGGGCAAAACGTTGTACAAGAAACTGATGCGCTCTCTTATTAAACTACAAATAAGCTGCTTCTGTACCGGCTTCACGTCACGCGCAGCTTCCTGCCACGCTGCAGAGTTGCTGTAAGTAATAACATCCACAAAACGGTTCTCCTGAAGCATATAACGCATTGCAGCTTCAAAGTCCGCCATAGTAAGATTTTCTTGAATACGCCTCACGTCTTTGGGCGTAACGTGCTGAATATTCTCGGGAGTTACCCGTTGGAACCGCTCAGAAGGGGAAAGAGAGGATGTGCCACTTTCCCCCACTGCTGAGAGAGAGCTGGACCGCAAGTCTTCCTTCTGACCTAACGACAGTGATACGTCACTATGCTTCCACCACTTGAATAGTGTCATGGTGTATAATAGCCGAGTAGCGTATCTTATCTCAAGGGGAATATATACGAATAGCTACCTACTCGGATTGATAGAATAACTTTTTAGCATACAGAATTATAAAGCTAGCATCCACTTGATGGAGGAGGGGAGTAATGGGATGACTGACTGCAGTAGGACTTACTACAGGGAGCCACTACGTATATCATGTAATATTTTGCAACTGTGATTTACTTGTCAGCAACGTATCCTTCTATATACCACGTTAATGTGAATCATATCAACAAGAGGAGGTATAACGACGATAGCAAAAGGCTAGGCCGTTTGGGTAGGGCATACCGTCCACTATATTTCTACAGCACTGTCCGTCACAATTTACCGCCAAAAATAAAGATAACAAAGTCTTTAGTAAATTAGAGTCCTTTACAAAGGAGGCAAAATCAGCCGTGGTATATGGGAAAGGAATGCTGTTCACGCTGCCACAGACATTATATATACAATACACAATGCGCCAAAATTCATTTAAAGCAACGAAGAATCATAAGGATTGTTTCCCGTTGGGAGGGCTTTTTAATCTTTATGTACTTAATTGGCTTCACTGGATTGTATCACTCTACTCCTCCAAATCCTCCCAATCATCTTCCTCACTTGAACCTGCAATGTTAGAACCCGCTCCCTCAGCACCCCGCGACTCCTGCTGTAGAACCACATCATCCATGCTATGCCACCGAAATAAAGTCCGCATAAAGAGCTGCAAGATATTCTCTTGCTGCGAAGGGAGGGTTTCCCCGCGGGAGTGGCTACCATCTTCACCATGAGGATGTTCCAGCACTTCATCGTTATCTTCCTGTTCCATCAGCTGCGGTATCATGGCATCTTCGTTGGGATCCAAAGCACCTATGTCGAGGAGCTCCTGAGGGATCGCTGTATTACTATCCATGCCCATGATATCCTCCTCACGGAGTGCAAGGTACAATTCTTCTATCTCCTTGTCCTTCGGATATCGGTGCTGAGAGCGTTTAAGTTCAGCAAGCGCGGTGGCGAGGGGCGTCTGCACTCCCTCGGCTCCAGTGCAGCAAGATCCCTCCCCACTGCCATGCACTGAGAGCCCTAGCACGCAGCGCAGAAATTTCATTGGTTCCGCAGACTTCCAGAGGTCAGCATGGCGGGAAACGAAGAAATGATTTAGTTGGCTGCGAAGATAAGGCGTCACATCCTCCTGATCTGCAGACTGCTTCTCTTCGCCGGCCGCCAGAGCTAGGATTTCATCCTGCCAGACTGGATCTACTGTGGAACCTTTGCATATCGCGTCCACGCCCTGGAGGCGTTCTACAAGCTCTACAGCCGCGCCAGGAAAATGTACAATCGCTTGCGCTAGCATTACAGTTGCTGGGGTGGCGGCCTCCAGCATCGCACGCTGGGAGGGGGTAATATCACGCAGGATTCTTGACTGGGGCTGCTTTAGGGGCCGACTTCCAGCGCGCATGGAAAGGTTGGTGTTGATCGACACGGAGTTTTGCTCGAGGGACGCCATCCGATGCTGCTCCATATCACGCTCTAGAAAGTACTTCGCGAGCGCTGCACTAAAGGCGAAGCTGGGAAGTGTGGAGACCCGGCGAGCGAGATATAGATCGATCTGGGCGTTGTTATACGGCGTCAGAGACGAGTTCTGCTGTTTCTCCCTCCTTGAACTAGCAACTCCTCGTTCCTCCCCCACCTTAACAGTGTTTTCGTTTACCAGGGATAAATTGTCAACCAACGTGAGGGTGGCTTGATGAACTTCAACCAGCCACACCCAACGCTTCGCGCGCAACGCCAAGTAATCCATCATTAACATCATTCCGCACGGATCACGAGGGTCGAGAGAGAGCAGAAAGCGAGATAACTCCCATGCCGTACGGGCACAACCACGCTGTAGGGCCACGTGTACTCCGCATTGAAGGGTCTGAAAAAGGATGCGGTTCTCTCGATAGCCATATGGCACCAGGCGTTTGCACCAGGTTTCAGCTATTGGAAAGCGCGATAGAAGCACACCGACATGATAGAGCGCCAAGTCCACCATCTCGCTCGCTCGCACAGTGTTACCCAATGCACGGAACGTAGCGTAGAGCTGCAGGAGCGTAGGGATGTGATAGGGACCCCGATTCAAGCAGTTTATAAGATCCTGCGGATTACCTATCCGCGCTTCGCATGCCAATCGCGCGTCTTCAGCCTGTTTGAATAGTGTAGAGTCACAATTCAGGCGATATAAAGTTGGCGCAGCGCTGCTCGAGCTTCTATTACGGTTTATAGTATTTTCACGACTATGAGCATCCTTAGGATGAGTGTTAGCAACGACCATTTGGATACCTAGCGAGTCGAAGGGGGGCCATCGGTACTTACTCGGCGTTGCGAAGACACTATGCCGGAAGCTTAATTTCATATGATGTTCGGGAAAAAGAGAGACGGAGCTGCTATTGCGCAGACGCCCGTGTGGCCGCAACATCGTTGAACCGTCGCCAACATCCTCGACAGCCTCCACGCCAAAGTTTCGGATGCGTTCAAGCCGCATGTCCAAGTGTTCTGGTTCACACAGTAACATCAGGACTCCTAAGCAGATCTCCGGCTGGTGCGGTCCCGCGATGGCCATGTCGCCAGTCTCCCCCTGAGCCCTGTTGCGCTCCCGCAGGACAGCTTCCAGCAGGATTTCCTCTTCGACATCTCTTTTTGTCTTTTTTGAGCCCTTGGACCATCTTTTAGCGTTGCAGTCTTGTGAGTGAGTCATTCCAACCGGTGAATACTCAACACCACTGAGCAAGGCTGGGTTGCCACGGTCAATTGATGATGCATTCGTGCTACCTTCAATTGGGCGCATTCTTTCCTTATGATCGCCGGCTTTGGGGTCCGTTGCGCGCTCCGAGGGGCACTTTGTAGCTCGGTGAAAATTATCCTTTGTAATCCGGCGAGATTCAGAAGTGATGGGAGATTGCACAGCATTGCTGTTGGTTTCCGTTTTATTTTCCAGAGGAGCAGCACTTGTGCTGCCTCCTTTCTCTGACTGGGGCCCGTTCCTCCGACGTCTATCTTTCGAAGATGCAGTAGGCTTCATAGCGCCAATGCTAATATCCTCTGGAGTTTCATCATCGATTCCCGTAGAGGACTTTATCAGGTGATGCAGCCGACGTATTTGTCGACTCGACATGATGTGCAGGTTGCTGCCCTATGTGTGTGTCGAACGAAGGGTTATGACTGGGAGGAAAAAAACTCGAGAAAATTGAAATGTAACTCTTGGTACAGTAATTTCGCGACACTGTTTAGTCCCTAATGTCGAGCGTTTATGGAACCGAGTGTAAAACGAAAATTCAGAATGTATCTCCTATTTTGTGTTGCCCCTTGCAGTTTGGCATCCAACTTCCTTTAAAAAAAAAGGAAAAAAGAGACTGAATAGAGGAAAAAAAGGTACTCAAAGATTTCTTAAAAGTTCCGTGTGTAGTGAGAGGTGGTCATTCTATTTCTCATGCCGAACGATTTCGACCAGTTAGACCACAACGACCCCTTCTAGAGAAATGCGTTTTGAACGGATGTGTTTTGTCATTTTCCAAAAACATGATTACCAGAGGACTATCAATAGAGAAGTAAACACAATCCAACCGAGGATAATTCTCTTGTTGCACCCAATGCTGTCTATGATAGAGAGAAATATGGGAAACTTGAAATTAGTAGGGCTGCAGTCATACCCTTCCCTTGAAACATGACTTGTAGCGCACTTGGACTGCTACCTTGGGTCACCGTTTTCCTCCTCTGCCCTCGCGGAATCGATGTCGATGAGAACATAAAGGCAAGGATGCCCTGGGCCCCTATACAACCATAGTCCGAATTACAGACCCCTATCGCCATGTATATAGTGCGTGTGGTGATGCTATGTGACACAACATCATCCGTAGTCATCCAACATTCCTTGAAAAATTTGGGTAGAATGGTGCTTGTATGTGAAGCAAGCTTCTCTGATGGTCGAACAAAGGAAGCATTAGAAAGACAATCCTTGGTAATCTTGTTGGCCAACGTATCAGAGTTTTAAAGGAAAATTGTATTTCATGTCGTCCAGAGCTCGTGCTGAAACATCTTCATCGCTTTTCGAGGGTATGGAAGAGCTTCTTGCTTGCCAGGTGTAAAAAAATATACGTCACAAATGAGGAAAGGCTACATAAAGAATAGAATATCGCAGTAAACTAAGCCGTGTTTGTGGGATATCTCTAATATTCTTACACATTCAAAAGGAGTCTGCGAGGTCAGACTACGGAATTGATTGAATACTGAATAGTGCTCCAGCGAAATGAAGCAGCATAACGAGAGAGAAATTGGGAATGTAGTACAAACAGCTCTATTATTTTCAATAAATAGCGTTACACACATGCACACACACACAGACATTATATATATATATATATATATATATATATGGGGGGGAGCGTAAACAACAATCTAGTATACAAATGTAGCGGAAGGAAATACTTATTTATTAAATGAACGAACTTGCACTTACTTTTACATAAGAATAATCAACAGAATAAGTATCCTTCTTTCGTGAAGATTAATAGGTAGGGACTCACCGATCCCAAATTACCCTGGCTATCCTCAAACGAGGTCCCTAAGCATTCTACTATATTCTTCCTCTATGAAAAGGCGCCACTTACTTTCAGCATCCATCAGCTCTTGACGTTGCTGCTCCTGTGTCAGTCGGTTCTGCAGCCATTGCTTCTTGAACTGGGAAACGAACGCTATCTGCTTGTCAACCTCTATGGACATCATATCGAGGAGCCGCAGGCGCGCTCTCGCCTCACGTCGCTCTTCCTCTAGACGAACCACACACTCCAACTTGTACAGCTGCTGGAATAATACGTCCCATTCCCGCATTGTTGCATTGGCCGCAAAAATCAACCCTTCTTCACCTTTTAAAATAAACATAAAAATATTGTCAAAGAGGAAGAGTAGACCCAGTAAAGAAGCAAACAGGCAAAGCGCCTTCGTCCATGAAAGTTCCTACAACTCCACTAACTATCACATATCTTTTGAAAAAATGTGACAAATTAGGCCACTTTACCGTGGTATCAGGGTTTAGCACCTCAAATCAAAGGAGAGAGGGGGGGGGGGGAGGAGAGGAACCAAGTGCCGGTAACCTGTTACATGTTCCCAAGCCTCACGACTAGAACTCTACTCCTGAATTGATTACCGTGGGTATATTTTTAAACCTAACTTAAGTTCTCTTGTAATTATCCTTCAGTACTGTATATTGTGTAGTCGGTTGCACAGAACTGATCCAATCGTGGGTACCATAGAGAGAAGTCACCCTCTATAGGCAGTATCATGCTACGCAGAGCTTTGAGAAATGGTAGACTTTAAAAAAAAGAATTACAAATGATCTATCTGTAGGATGCACTGCCGGTATCTGGCAGCGAATTTCTCACCTGCTTGAAAGTAGGAATATATCCATAGATTTGCACGTGTTGCAATTCATGTGAAAAGGGCGCACTTATAGTGGAACAATACTATATTCGAAGCCCACATGAATTACTGCGCTCTTATCTCATCGAGCTTGAGTATATCAAAGCATGAAAAAATATGCGGAACTCCATTAAAAAGGGGGAAAATAGCTTCCCACATACAAAGAGTAATGACGACACATTATAACTCTCCCAACAAAGTGTGGAGAGGATATAGATGCATGGAAAAGTCTACGATATACGTTACATAATCTTTATCGGACACCTTTTCAGTGACTTTTACTATCATTTCGAGGAGCTATCACTTAGCCCGAGATCGCACCTGGTATGACTTTCAGCACATTTATTGTAGCGCTGCATTAAAGTGCGCAGTGTTGCCCGCGACGCAAGCCGAGGACAGAGACCCTTTGCATCGGGTTTAGACTTGGCATTGGATTTCTTCGAAGGGGCCTGATACTTGAGGGCGCTATGTGAAGGATCAGTATTCTCCTTTTGATGCCCCTCACTCCCTGCACCCAACTTTTGTTTCCACATGTGTGCTTCAGTAGTTGTATCAAGCCCACCAGATGCGGGTGAGTGTCCAAGCTGTTTGTCTCGCATCGCCTCAGATGCTTCTTGAGAGGGTTTTGATACCGTCAATATTTCTGAAGGATTATAAGTGGAGTGTGGCTCTAGCGAATTGGACAATATGATCGTTTCCGCAGCCTCACTATTATCCTCAGAGCTAAGTGTGCCCGGGGAGCTCAACACCGAAGATGATACTCCGATTTGCTTTCTACTAGCTATCGTCATACGCATCGCTGCCATATCAACGGAGGGCGGACGAAATAAATCCCCTACCCCTTTGTCGCTGGTGCTGAGAGGACCATTAATACCGTCCTCAGAGCCTTGGGTGGTATGTGCTGCGGGAAGTCGTCCGACGGAATTCTGTATCCTCACCGAGTTACTAAAAAGATTTGCCACCTCGCAGCTGATCCGAGTGACAGTCTTTTGAGACTCGATAGGAGATACTCGGAACTTTGCTGCTGTGGGTTCAATATCCAGGCTAGGACACGGACTGCGACTACCCTTGGGAGATGGCTCGGCCTGGGCGGTGGAGTCCATCGTACGGATTAAAATTTGCCGCAAGCTTAAGATTGACTGTTGCTGCTCCTCTATTTGCTCAATAAAACGTTCCGTCTCATGCATCATATGACGCCGCTCATCAGCCAGCGTTTTTTCGAGTTCCCGCTTCTCCCTCCGGAGTTGGTCGACCTGCCGTTCCAAGTAGTCTTTGCTACCAAACAGAAGGTCAATCTGGCAGTTTTGACGCATCAGATCGCGTAGCAAGGAAGTGTTCTTTGTGTAGGCTGCCCTTAATAGTGTGTCCAACTGTGAGACGTGCAGCTTGTCCTCCTCAAGATTCATTTGCGTCAAATCCTGAATAAAGCTTTCTATTCCAATTAACGCATCCTCACTTCGCTCCGCCATGTGCTCATACTTACGTGTCTGGTCCTCTATCAGAGCTTCATAACGACTTTTCGCGTCGCGCTCAGCGCGCGCTTCCTCCAAAACCTTATTTTGTATGTCTATTACGCGCGTGCGGCTTTCCGACATTTCCTTCTTGAGTTGTCGAATATACCTTTTGCTCTCTTCGTTACGAGAAGAAAGTGCCACTACATCGATAATTTTTGCCTGTAGCGCACGGTATGTCTTGGCGTGCATATTAGCCATATCCTCATAAAGTGACTTTTGATGTTCATACATCTTTTCATAACGGTTCCGCTCCTTTTCAACGCGCTCGAGCTCAGACAGGGGTACCATTGGCTCAGGCATTCGTGTGCTTGGGCTGCTGCTACGCAGTCTCGGCGTGCCGTGCAACAATGAGGCCCAGGGAGAGGCACGGGGCACTTGACCGCGGCTTTTGAGCGGTGTCGGCGAGGTCGCGAAGCCGAGCCTGACGGCACAGCCGTCCCCCGCCGTGGACTCGCAGGACGCAGCCGGGGTGGAGGGCCCCCGTGGCTTCGACGCGGCTCGCGCTGCGTCGTTCGGTGTCTTGGCGTTTGTCAAATGCAGCCCGCCAAGGTGCGACGGGTCGTACGCCGTAACGTCCAGATGGCTCTGCGGAGTGGGCAATCGCTGCGGTGAGAGAAAAGACACGGCAGACGGGGAGGCGGAAATGCACTGGGCCGTGGTACGATCGATGGTATCCTCTATGAAGATGGCAGAGTCATCCATGGAGACGCCAAGCTGACGAAGACCCGAGGTTGAAACGCGCTGCTGCGAGGCCCTAACAGCGTTACTCATTGCAGCTCCTCACGTCTCAACAAATATCAAGGCCCGGCGAAAGACAAAAACACAAGAACACGACTCCACTAGAGAAAAGTAAGGTAGTGTGGACGGCTTTATGAAATTGATTGTGAGAGGAAAACAAATTGTAGTCTAGAAAAAAAAGACCGTGTGGGGAATCTAGATGATTAAAAGTTCTAAAAGTTCTAAAGGTTGCTTTCAAAAACAAAGGTAGGTTTATCTAATTTATTTTTGGGTCCTTCCAAGGGTAAGAAAAATGAATAGACAAAATAATATAGAGATCAATATATATGAGGTGAAGAAAAAGAGAGAAGAGTAATACTTGAGAAATCCCCTCACAAATCCGTCTTGACTTTGGCAGCAATAGAGGATGCACTCTTAAAAGAGAAATGCTTCCTTCAAAAACGCAGAAGTTAATATGAGGAATCGATTAACACATAAAGTGACGCTACGGGAGTTGCATATGTGTATAAAAAGCCTAAAAATCATAAAATCAAAAAGGGGGAATAGTCAATCTCGAAAAAAAGTACCACTGAGGAACGATCATCTTCCGGGAAAGAACGCTTTCAGTGCACCATCCAGAAAGTGAGAAACTAAACTGCCCCTATTACTTTTATTACACGTTGCTAATCTCATTCAGAGTAATTATTGCGCAAAAAATAGGAAAGCATGTATATGTTTGCCTCACAAGTGATAAACATCACCAGGACTCATGCTTGTCTGCTTTTTTCCTTCATTAGCTTCTGCTCGAATCCTAGCCTTCTAGAATATACTTGCCTCAGCGATATCAGTATTATTTTACACCTCACTGGGATCCTAGTTCTATGGATCCATCTTTATCAGTGATTTCCAACTCGTCGCGACTGGAGTCGTGTAGTGAGTATGCCCCTTGCACATATTCGCCCTCCTTGCAACCAGGGGTAGTGGAAGACGGCAAAGGACCCTCTAAAAGTTTTCGACGTGTGCTTGAGTCAAAATTTGGTGGGATGGCTTTGAGTTGACCGTAGCGAGTGCGAGACAGGACAGCCGGACGCCGTGCAACACTGTGTTGCATTCGTAACTTCGCCTGCACTTCACTCATTTTGTCGCTTAGCCTTTCTTTTAACATCTTCAACTGCTCAGCTGGGGAGGACTTCGGATAATCGGAAACAATGTAGTAGTCGTCATCGTCATCACTTTTTACAAGATCAGAATGAACCTCTATAGATGAATTCAGTTGATTTGACGTCTCGGGCTTTGGGGGGGATTCAGATCTCTCACACGTTGTACGTTTTGAAGTGAACTGAATTTCTGCATTGATAAGGGCATCCTCCTCTTTTTGACGCTGCAACGCCTCCTCTTGAAGCTGAATTTTCGACTTAGGTGCTTTTCTGGAGGCTATCCTAATGTGTTGGATAGTTGAACCGGGACCGGCACAGGCATGAGCCTCCTGCGGTGTGTCCGAGCCAGTTGGGGTAGAAGGCCTGCTCATTTCTACAGAATCGTGAATAACCTTTTCCTTATGGATTGCTTGTATTGGGCTACAACTTGTGTTGTCCTGAACTGTAGAGTTCATTAGGATAGTGGCAAAAAGAATAACGGCAAAATAAGTCCAGAAGTAACGGGCTGTTTTGAACCAGTTGAAGTATTTATTTGATCCTAGAAAGGAATACTCGGCCTAAGGGACTAAACGTGGCGTTTCTGTATATAAGGAAAAGGATGGATGGAAGTAAGATTGCTTTACCAATTGAAAGGGATACAACAATCCGTTGCCTTCGATAAAAAACTAATGTAGACAGCAAAAGAAAGCGAAATTTAAAAAAGCATGATTCGCTATTGAAGTAAGTTCATCGTGAACCAGTAGGCCCATTGTGAGTAGCTTTTCCTTGTTTTTACAAAACATCATGTAATTAACTTTATGGTGGTGAGGGAAAAATATCCACAATAAAGAGAATACTACAATGAGGAAAATAATGAGACATTCCAAAGTCACGCGTTGCAGATGATTTGATTTACCCCACAAAGCTCTTCTGTGAAACTCGTAGCCAAGGCCACTAAGGAGAGTAACGATTTTATTTCCAACCTTACTATGCGTTCAATGAACGTTGATAGCGTGGACTGCTCAGCAGCTCTTGCGCATCCTGCACCATCGACGGCGATATCTCCACTTGCGCCAGCCGTTTGTTGCGCTCATCTCTGGTCTCATCCGATACGATACGGTTATCGCAGTTTATCTTTAGACCACTGGCATCATCAATGTAGCTGTACCCTCTAGGCCCGTCATAAACTGCATCCGGCGCCCCCTCCGTGTAAGACGGAAAGAAATCTCGCTTGTAGTACCGCTGTCGGTTGAGCTCTATATTATCCAATATCTCGTTAGCCCGACTAGATTGAAGACGGCCTACCATAAAGGAGAAAACGCACCCCGTGAGCACAAGCGTTCCGCGCCACTCCATCCAGACTGTTCGCAGAAAACCACGCTCACCATAGCGCGCCAAGAGTTCGGCATTGTCTAATCCAAGCCACCATGCCCTTAAGCGGATAAAATGGCTAACTCGAGGGCGGGATCGCGAAGCGAAAGGTGATCTAACTAGCGCAGTTCGCACATACATATTCAACCCGAATTTGAATGCACTGAAAATATGCAAAAAATACTCTCTGAAGAGCAACTAATCCACCAAACAAAGCCGAATAATCATTCAAAAAAAAAATTATCTCAGACAGGAAGTGGAAAAGGAAGGAAAGTGAGTAGAAGAGTGTTGATTCACAGTAAAGACTGGACTCGTAAATATTGGATTCAAATAAAATAATTGTAACCATTTACGATGGAACGAAAATATAAAATTCATTTTATTAGCATGCCATCGACGACTTCGAAATCAAAAGCATCCCAAGGGATCCAGGGATCGGAATACGACGGTGCACATTCTCCTAAAGTAAACCACTCATATATGTGTAAAATGATACTGTTATTTTTTTAAGAAAGAAATATAAATATTTCGCTTAAACACACTATTGTCTGTGTTCTTATAAAATAATTTTTATGGCAGTGCCATTTTCATAGCATAGTTCCTTCCTTAACTCATCCAAAAAAAAAATCAGTGAAATATACCTTGTTTCATTTTCGCGTTTTACAGATTTTCTCGTCCTACTAAGCCTTTACGTAAATAGAAATCATAAGCCAAGCAAAGAAGCGCTCAGCACTAGGCAGAATACATATGTAGAAAAAAATACTAAATAGAAAGAATTTGCGATTTGACCGAGAGCACAAAATAAAAAGAGTGCGAATTAGAAATAATGTAATATATGCATATACCTTCATAAGAATAAAAAATGAATTTCACTAACAAAAACAAAAAGTTGTTCTTTTCCACCAATAAACTGATTTAAAACTTGAAAAAAAACTACTCGAGCCACTATTGACAACAGCGGCGAATAGTTTTGCTAATAAAACTACCGATACCCTTTTAAAAGAAACCTTTCTCTTTCAACCTAATTGAAAACAATTTCACAACTTGCTTTGTTGCATCGGAGTACCTCCATACTTATCACAGAAAGACATGCAGAAATCTACCTCTTGGGGGCTGCCTAAAAATACCGGGGTGCGTTGGTGCATAGACTTCACCTTCTGGTCTAGGATGCGGCCCTGACCATCCAAAGCCTTCCCGCCAGCCTGTTCCACGATGTAAGCCATGGGTGCGGCCTCATACAAAAAGCGCAGCTTACCCGATGGCTTATCAGTTGTCCTAGGATAACAAAAGATGCCTCCGTAGAGCAGGGTGCGGTGTATATCGGCCACCATGGAGCCGATATACCTGTAGGAGTATGCCTTTTTTTCTTTATCCTTGATGTGCATGACATATTTTTTGAACCACGGGTCCCACTTTCTGAAATAACCCTCATTCGCGCTAAAGATCCTGCGGCTCTTTGGAATTCTGATATGCGGATGGGTGAGAACGAACTCGCCGATTCTTGGATCTAATGTGAAGCCATCGACACCCTGGCCGATACTGATAATGAGACTTGTGGCACTTCCATACATGACATACCCAGCTGAAACGATATCATTGCCATTCAATTTTTGAAGTAAATCCTTGGCTTTCTCCTTCGAATTGATCTCCTCACCCGGTGGTAGACGCCAGATACACCAAATCGAGCCTATGGTAACATTGGCATCAATGTTGCTGCTGCCATCCAGAGGATCGAAGAAGATGATGTAGTCGCCGCACTTATCCTTATCAATGAGAATAATATCTTCCTCCTCCTCACTCCCAAGGATGGTGACACAGGTTGACGAACCGAGATATGCCTTGAAGGCATTGTTTGAGATCACATCCAGCTTTGCCTGTTGATCACCTGTTGCGTTCTGTGGTACCCCCTCAATAACGCCAAACATGTTTTTCATACCCGCCCTTCGAATATTTTTTTCGGTCACTTTGACGGCCGTTTGGAGGGCCATCATCAAAAGTGTAAAAGCACCACGGCTCTTCGGTGGTTGACTGCGAATAAGAAACTGCGTCAACGTGAGGGGCGCGAAGCTCATAAGATCAAGATTCATATCTCCTGTCTCCATTGTAAAGTATAAAATTTTTCTCCCTCTTTCTGAAGAGATGTGCATGTAAGTGAGGAATAGGTAGGAAAGAAAGAGAAGACAAGCAGTATCCGTGTGTAGCATGCAAATACATTTCACTTTTTTTTGGGGGGTAAATGTCCTGTAGTAGGCATAAACCATTAAAACCATGGGTAATTCCCCGATATTTTCTATAACAGGTGTTCAACAGACCCCATCGTGGGCGTATTTTAAGTGTATAAAGGAGGGGGGAGAATAAACTGTCTTATGGATGTCATATATAGACTAGGAAAGGCAATGACAATGCCCCATAGAAAAGAAGCCACATACTCCATCACTTGACGAATAGGCAGAATTGAAGAAACTTTCCACATGCAAGTATGAGGTAAGGAGAAATTGAAGAGTATCCGTTTGATTAACACGCACTATTTTTTTTACTGTACACAGTAGGAATCCATAGTAAAATGTAGAAAAAGCAAAAGCGAATGATCGGCAAACACACGAATAATCCCTTTGAAGGACAGAGGCTTTTATATCACACCCATAGGTTTGATAATACTTCTACCGCTATCCAAACGACGTTGCGGAATGAATTGAGTGCAGCGCACACACCACTTTTTCAACTAAACTCCAAAACACATCCTCGATGCCGCACCGTATAATCCCCTCCCCCTTTCTTCGACACGGATGTCACCAAATCGATCAACTCACCAAGGCCTAAATCAGCCGCAGCGTAACTCACACCATTAAGGGAAAGCGTAAACGCACATTTCAGCGCTTCTGCCAAGGTGTACTGCGCTTCTGCTCCTCCTTTAGCACGGCTCCTCGAGGAGATCAAGCGGCCCTATGAAGAGTCATGAGGAATGACAATTAGTGCATTGCATCTTGAAGCAGAGACCCCAGTGTGTGGTAGAACTCGAAAGTCTAGACAACGGAGACGTCTCCGGACTTCACGTCACTCAGTACAGGATCCAATGCGATACTCAGAGTAGTTTAACATCCACGGACCAATAGCATCAAGAGAATAGTCCGTTCTTCAGACCTACCGCACTAGTACACACACACACACATACATATATATATATATATATGCAAGTCAGTATATGTGTTTATTGATGCCTACTATGTAAATAAGATAAGGAATAAGGATGCTTAACAACGGAGAGGGGGAACCCATTAGTAAGGTCATCTCCGAACACCACAATTTGCATTTATAATCTTTCAGAATAACTGTTTTTGTTAATTTCTTTAAAAACTAATCAATAAAAGGTTGTAAAAGCTCCTCGATAAAGGAAGGATGGATTTAGAAGTTTACAAGATATGAGTTTATTCTTAAAGGAAAACTCCAGTATTATTTTCAACTCATAGGCCAAACGAGAAGCTCTTAAAGAGAAATAGCAACATCTGATAATGAAACTTGCACAGCCCATATCATATATTTTCAAGTTTCACATGCCAGCAAACATTGACAACAAAATAGAAAACAGTAATTTCACAGGAAAAAGCTTGCAACGAGGACATTCTAAAGATGAGAAAGAGAAAACGCATTTAGTGACGAAAAACGAAGAAAGGGTAAAGATGCACATTGAATATACCCTACGAAGAAGGAGTCCAAAATACGTATAAGGTACGTCTTTATCCTTATGAAATCTTTACAACGATCTTTCCTAGGATGCAGTGCTCAACAGGGGGACTAAAGCTGTTCGCAGTATTCACCTCAGAAACAACAACCATCTTTAGCACACCCCTAATTACATTGAATCATTTGCTGTCTAGCAATGTAGACATTACAAAACAAACAAAAGGCCTTGAATAGCAGAATATGAGATTCAATGCTAACCACTTCGTATAGTATCCCACATACAAAGCGCACCTTTTATCCCCGCCGTTACCTTTAACCTTTTTTGCTTCTCTAATTATTTCATTAGCATTATTCCACTCTCTCCTCACCCCCTTTCCTTCCCTTTCCAACCGAATGATGTTAACAGACACAGATTGTGTGGGTCTTATTTTATGGAATAATGAAAAGTGAAAAGCAACACTCAAAACAAAAATGAATAGCCCAAATGTTAAAAAAGAAGATCACACATACGAATTGTTTAAGCAAACCGAGTCATCATAGTACAGGTAAGAAAGAACTTGGTATGTTGTTGTGAAATATTGTTCCCCCAGTTCATTTTCCTCATCGGTAGGCTTTAATTTTAGCATTCAAATTTCGTTTGTATCTTTATTGCAATCCTTTTTTTCATATCTTACCCCTTCCAAATTTCCTTTTGTTTTAGGAATCGAACAAATCCCATAATGAAGCAAGATGGATCAGGAGGAGAGAGAAGGCTTGAAGCAAACAACCGTGCTAAAAACACGAAATAAAAGGGGTTTGGCTTCGTGATAATGGGAAAACGAACATACAAATGGGAGTTTTCAGCCTTTCGAAAGTGAAAAGAGACGAATATATTGAGGAGTCGCATGCAAGGAATGCAACAACAATAAGACAATAATGATAGATAATAATAATAATAATAATAGTAATAATAATAATATAGTCAATTTCTGATAGAAACAACACGAATTAACCTAATTAGAGGATTCCAAAATTCCTTTATTAGTTCCTGTTTCCTCAGTCGTGGAGATTAACTTTGTCAGATGAAATATCCATTGCGTTTAGAATTCATATTTTCCATATTTAGTTGATTTTCACGGATACAGGCTTCATGACGCCTATTGAAACAGTCCCCCTACATATAATATGCCTGATCATTGCATACAATACTCCCAAATTATAGATATTAATTTAACTTCATCTTGTGAGCAGTATACATAAAAAGGTACTACCCCCCAACATTTTCTTCTTTTAAAAAAATTCCAACACTCACAAAAGCAATCTGTCTTGCCTGTAAAAGAGCAAACACAAGGCTTCAAAGACACGCAAAGATGAGATAAATACGACGTTAAAGGGAGTATTATAAAAGTAGCTATCTATAACCCATGCCCCTTTTGAGTTTAAGAATTCAATAAATTGAGCAAACCTTACAAACGCGCATCACATTGTCATGCTATTCTATTATCTACATATAATTTATACGCAATGATTCCTCCACCGATTCATAATAAGAGGTACAACAAATTATTGGCTCGTTTCCTTTCATTTGTTTCCTTGTGCAAAATGGTGTTGGAAAAGAAGAAATAGGTAGAAGGGAGTCTAACTCCACTGTTGTGCCGATGATCCAACATATATACCACCCCCTCGTGCCGGCACATTCGGCGGCTGAGAAGGTGTTTGCTGCTGCATCAGTGGGCGCTGTGCCATTCCATTCTCATCCACCACAATCGAAGTCATTGGATTAGTGGTTTTAATTTCATCCATACGAGAGAACTGAATATCCAACATGAAAGTTACAGTGTCACCTAATGTAACAGGTTGTCCCTGCAAAATATTCTTGACATGCTCAGCATTTTCTCGATTATCGAACTGAACAAGTGCTTGAACACGGTTATAGTTCCACTGGCTAGACTCATTTTTAGGCAGCACTACTATCCTTTGTACTGTACCGTAGCTCGAGAAGATTTGGTAGACAATTTCGGGAGTAATCTGCGCAGCTGAGGACACATCATACTGCGTATTAAACATGGATACCAGGAGTGTACGGCTGACTTGCTGAGTGGCAGTGAGACTCTGGTGATTGCTGTATCTTATGTAAACACGCCGACCATCCACTTCGACATAACCAGGGTCTTTAAAAAAGTCCACCAGCTGCTGTGCGGATTTTTTGCTTTCCATTTCCACAAGAGCTTGATTCATTTGGCGGAGCATCACAATATGCTTAATATTGCCAAAGTTAGCAGCAAAATTTTGAATGCTAAGTTGCGTCACTTCCGGTGTGACATTTCGCATGTGGATTACACTGCTGACGTCTCCAATTTCATTGTTTCGGGACCGCATGGGGCGGGAAGATTGGGCACTGTTTCGCTGGTTTTGTTGCATTGACTGCTGCTGGCACTGTTGTTTCGACGGAGCCATCAGAGAGGCAGACATGGAAGGCGGAAATGCTCCCTGATACACTTGCCGTGGATCATAGTTAGGAATCATGGTTCCGGACATGTTAGGTGCAACTTGTGACTGAAGCATGCCAGATGGATATGGCATCATTCCCGGCTGTCCATACACTTGATTCGACATAAACTGCTGCCCGTACATTACCGATGGCAAGAGCAACAAGGAGATATTAGATTGACAGATTTATTTAAGGGATTAAGGAAATTCGCGCAAGTATCAAATCTTGACTGCTAAAAATAATAATAATCAATATAATAAACGTAACTCACTTATACTTAGTGAAACGCTAAAATAAAAGGTAAAATAAAAGGAAGCATTATTTAAAATCACATAAAAAGCAGTTCTGCTTATTTTTTAATAGGAAAATAACACACACCTCTAAGGCTTTCTCTTAGCAGAAATGCAGTCTCGATTACCGCTCTTAAAAAAATCCCACATCAGGTGTGAGGAAAACTGTTTCTATATCACTTTTTGAAAATATATTTTTGTCTATGATTTGAGAGAAAAACATACGAAAAATACACCTACATGATAGAGTCTTGCGATGAAATGGTATTTCTAATTTATTTTTCACATTTTCCTTCTATATGTCTAAAGAATTGCACACAATTTGAATGCATTTATGCAAATTCGCGATCCAATTGGTGGATACGCTTTTCAATGTTATCACTTCGTCGGCGCCTCTGACGCTCAACAAAAGTGGAGCCCACATTTACTTTCAGTTGACCCCCATCCTCTGATGACAACACACCATTCGAGACGGCTACATTTACAGAATCACCAAACGCGCTTTTGCTACAACTCACAAGAGGAGACGCATATTTTTGCGTTTTCGCTCTAGATAATGGCTTTTGATTTGTTTTCGGGATGCTGGATTGACTACGGTACATGTAAAAACGATCGGGCAGATCCTTAGTAGCGGTACGTGACCGCAACTGGCGGGTAGCAGCCCCAGAGGCTGTCGTTCTTCGCCTTCGCTCAAGAGCAGAACAGCTACGCTGAGGATACAACGGTGCACGGCACCGCTGATGTCGGATACGCTCGGACGGTCGCTTTGGAGCTGATTGATAAACTTCATGAAGATCAGTCAGCTCGACAAAGGAAGGAGCTACGTTGCTTTCGGGCACCGCCTCCACGCAGGATTTATAAGAAGGTGCGCCCTGGCACACAGATAATCCACGCTGAGAATTAACCGATGATATTTGCTTGCTGTCAGTTAAAACGGTAGCTCGTGTTGCATGTTCACCTTCATTGACGTCCTTCCAGACAGTTTCTTTAACAGTAAGATACTCACGAGTGGTTGGTGAAACGAAAGTTGAGGTTTGGTACGGATTCCAAGGGGAAATTGGCGCAGGCTGCGGAGCGAGTTGCCTTGTCCGATCCATCTCAAACGAAGGGAGGGGAAGTGCTCGCGGATCGGGTGCGCTGGAGTTACAAAGCGCGGACGCGGTTACATCCGATGGTTGTTGTTTAGCTAAATCTATTTCTGCTCGTTTTGCCTCTTCAGGATGTCCTGTCTCACACGTAGAGAAACTTATGAACCGCCTTTCGGCGGGATCGGCACCATTCTGCCGTTGTGCATTGATTTCACTTTCTGTGACCCCATCATGCCCAGGTAGAACAAAACCAGCAGAACCACCCGAACACAGCTTTAAAGGGCTCTGCGGCTGAAACTCTAGAGGACTTGATTGCACCTGGGTCGCCATGGGCAGACGGTGCAACTCCGCTAGTCGCCTTTCCGCAGCAGCTGTCTTGCAGCGGAGCGAGTTTAGCAGAGCGATTTCCTCTACCTTCATACCTTCCGTAGCCTTTAGCTTCTCATAGCTTCGAATGGTTTCCCGTGTGTCGTGGAGGGCCTTTTCCATCGCCTCAGCGGAACAGTTGATCGCCTGCAATTTCGAATTAAGACCCTCTAGGTCCGAAATCGTGTTAGCGATGCTCACCTCTGGGACGGCCGTAGTAACACCACTAGAAGGCATCGTGCTCATTAAATGGAACGGTGTCAATGAAGCCCCCACAGAGGCATCGCTTGTCGCCAAAGGCTGGGTTTGGATCTGAGCGGATAACATTGGTTGGGATTTGGTAGAATCGCAAGAAGGCTGCATCTGTGATAGGGGTTGGTCCCGGTTATAGCTCAACAGATTATCCGTACTTTCCACTTTGATGACTGTAGGCTCAAACGCGGAGCTCCCTCCAATACGGGCTGCACGCAGTCTTATCTCTGAAAGTTCTAGATTCAGATTTAGCAACTCGTTCTTTTGCCTGACACTTTCCTGAACAAGTTGGGCTTGTTCCAAGGGAGCGAGACCGTTCTGCGCATGTGGAAAAAACAAGGGTGGTGGGTGCACTACAGGCTCGGGTGCTGAAGTGGACTGAGGAGGCTTAGGGATTTGGGGATTTAAAACAATATTTTCGGCTTGTTGGCTCAAAGAGTTGTCAACCCAGGCGGGTAGAGCTTGCTGCTGTTTTTCCCGTGAAAAGTCGCCCGTTTCGAGTGGTGATGCTGTGAAGTTCGTAGTAACGCCAGGCACGGGTGCCGATGGAGCAAGACTTATTTTTGTTACTAAATTGTCAACATAACGCTTGAATTCATGCATTTCAGCTGAAGTCAGAAATGACTGCTTCACGTCCGGGACAGTAAACGATTTAGCGTCGGATTGTGGATTACCGATATGATGTTCCGAAATTGATGTGCTGAGAACAGGTTGTACAAGCACTGGCTCAACGTCATCTCTTGGCATGGGTACCGTCTGTTCCCGGGACACTTGGGCCGAGAGATTAAGTTCTGGAAAAGAGGTAAGGAGTTGCTCTGGGGCTCTTTCCGTGCGCTCCTGAGAAGGTTGAAGCTGCTGCAATTGTTGTGGCGATCTCGATGCGCTCACCACGGCTTTGTTTTTATCGAAAAAAAAGTTGGCGTCAGGAAAAGTAGAAATGTACGGACTGCTGCTCATACACTGGTTAGGAAAGTTGTTCTCGGCCACAGCGGCTGCTCCCGACTCACCAATTGCCACATGCTCACGCAAATGCAACAATGGAGGCGGTTTCTGAAAGACACAGGAGGATGGAATTGGTGGTGGCTCTAAATACTGTACACCGGTGTGCGCCGTTACGTTGTTCAGAAAGGGCGAGGGAGCAGTGGTGCCCATCCATTCCGTAGTTTGCTTTATTTCCTTCATATGGGTTCCAGAATCACCAAGATGAATGGAATACAGTTTAACCCGCGGACTACGAGACTGCTGACCCTGATGATGCGAGAAAGTAAGAAGAGAAGGACCCCCACTACTGTCTTGAGCCACATCCTGACGGACATTAGACGGGATGGTACCGATACGCTGGTATATTGGAGTTTGAAAGTCGTCCATGGGGCTCTTCCTTGGGGGTTCTGGTGGGGGTCTTAACGCAGTATTCGACTGCTGGTGCGGAACAACAGTTTGGTTTGAGTGCAAATCGCCGTGAAATTCATGGGAATACAACGGAAGTTTCGTTGGAGTTAGTGTGTTATCTATTCGAACAGCTGGATCCTCTCCAATCCATCCATGACCGCCCTTGCCAAGTTTTATTCTACAAGAATCTGATTGCCCACAAGACCTATTGCATCTGCAGCAGCAATAAGAACAATGATGATGATGGTGATGGCATCGCTTTTTGTGATACTTTACTCTGCTTGAAGCAAATATCCCTTCCTCATAGTTACTTTCATTGTAGGATCTCAGCGGCTTTTCTATCGACTTCTGCGAGTCATCAGTGCCTGTTAAGCACTGACTAGTGGAGGTTGTGCGCGTTGTCGCCGTATCAGAGAGCGCTGGCTCCTCCTCCATGGAATCCGCGGTGGCATAATACCCTTTGGGAAGCCTTGGTGACAAACTTCTACGCTGTGTAATGTCCTGTGACGCGAGACGGTTGGAAGCTGTGAGTGTTGAGTCAGCCGGGGAATGCATCAAAGAAGGCGATCGCGTGCGAGAACTGATTTTCTCGGCCTTGGCGGTTTCAACGATAGACTCTGGGGATATCGTTGCTGGAGTATTTCTTGCAACTGAGGGTTCTTCTCGTGAGGGCGCTTTGACTGCAGTAACCTCCTTATCAATGCTACCTACCTCTACATTTACATCATGGGTTCTTTCTTTTGGAAGATAGTAACTGTTTTGCACCTCTCGCGGTGGAATGGGGCACTCAGTCTCCTCACGTGATTGAGTGGGCAGGAGAATGTGAAAGATATTTTCAAAGAGAGGCTTGGCTTGCACTGTTGAGAGACCATCAGATTCTTTCTCGCTCATGCGTAGTGCAGCCCTCTTAGACCCCTCTTCTATAGATGAGACTAATAACTCAATGGCTTCCTTCGAAGCATTTGCCTTCCCCTCGATAGACCACATTCGCTGTGTCCAGTCTGTTGAGATCATGTATTTACGTCCTGGCAACCCTTGATCCCTGATCCATCTGGGGATGCTAGAATCTCGAGAATGAGAAAAAATAAAATAAAAAGCCTGACTTTCATCGCCATTCTCGGGGGACAAGGCGGATACCGTGGAGTTTGCTATTTCGATACAATTTCGGATACTGTTCCCAATCTCTTCATGGTTTGAAAGTTTATTTGTCTCGTTCTGCAGGCGATCCAACAGGGTGAAGTAGATCTTCTTAAGTGGCTCCATGGTAGTATCTGAGATACCAGATAAGGATAACACATGTGCGAAAAAAGAGCGCCAGGGCTCAGATTTTGGATGCTTATCAGACACACAGATTTCTGAAGCCTCCTTTATTAGCTCCAGAAGCTGTTCTTGCGACCTTTCAACCGGCAGCCCACTGTGTTTGAGTGTGTAAATAGTGCAAAGAGCCCCTAGGCTGCCATGGACAGCTGGGTGGCTCTCGTTGATATCACTGTGGGATTCGACATCCTGTTTGCATAGCAGGACAGTCTTTTCCAGGCGCTGTTCCAATATTTGTGAATAGTAAACCAAAACAAAAATTCGGAAGCACAGGATAAGGGTACGCAAAACTACGGTTCCCCTGTTATCTGCTAAGCAGATACTACTGCTAAACGACATGGAGATAGAGGACTGGTAACTAGCCGCGATGTCATGAACTGTGTAAGGCAACACTACACTAGCCTGTACCCACGCCACTAACGTGTGCTCTATTGCAGCACAAAAATGCTCTCTGCAAGCGAGAAACCCCTCCGATTCACGCGTATCATTTTCATGCTTATCCAAAAGGTGTTTCATAACAGATGCAGTGTAGCTATTGCGTGCATCGACTAGTTTTTCTGTCATAGTGAATATCAGTACCACAATAGATGCAACACACAATTCTTGCGAAATAGACTCCTGGATGTAATAGAAAAGAGAAAGGTTATTGGGCAACTCCGTTCCACATAATGCGTAGAAAAGCGCTGTCGCGGTACTAGTATTCCGCTGGTCTACCCCCTTCATCGGTGCCTGGATAAAGGTGCGAACCACCTCGATGGGATCTGCATTTAAAGTTGTAGCGCAGGTTTCAAGCCATTCTGTGTTATTAGACAAGGATAAAGAATCGGTATGCAGACTCTGCAAAATTTGGGGCAAAAATAATTTTAATAGAGATATTAAGCAATGGCGGCGTTGACTTACGGTAAGCGCTACGATAGGAATGTGGAAAGAATAAGGAAGGCTCGCAGTTTGCACGCACATTAGGTCGACTGCCAGGGTAAACGCGCACTCGACTTTCTTTGGATCGTCAAATGGATACGCAGGAACGCTAATACACGAAGGCTCTACTTGCTCATCAGACCAAGTTATTGATTTATTTTTGTTATCAACACCAAAAAAAAGATGAATATTGAGACTGGAGGACAGAAGAACTACGCCCATGGCATGTATAACCGTCCCACAGCCTTCCTTAGGAAGTACTGCACGCACGCACCCAGATGAAAATGTGTCCAAAACCACACACCGCCGGACCACCTCTTCTGCAAATGATAGCAATGGCACACGTTTAGCAAGGCCATCTAGAAAGAACAAAGCTTCGGTAGAAAAAATGTCCTCCTTATAGTTGTGTTCATCCTCTTCGGTATGTTTCACACGACTTAAAACAATTTCATCCAGTTTGAGGTTTCTTGTATGTGGTTCGATCTTTGGATTTAGGTTGATTGGGTAGTATTGCTCTATTAAATTGACAAAAAACTGATCCGTACACGCAATGGAATTGGTGCAGATGCGCCTGTCTATGGTGTGTTGCAAAATCCGCGTTAGCGTCCAGAGATCTTGCCAATCTGTGTCGGTGACAGGCGAAAAAAGCCTCAGCAACAGCACGAATATGCGTCGGACTAAAGGTATGTATATCTGCATTTTAGAAGCTCGTCGAAGGGTCTGTGTAATTCGTCTGAGAAGAATCTCACCTAATTCACGACGAGTAACAGGCTCTGATGCAAGGATATCGGAAAGCAACGCTAAGGCCTTCTCACACAATACACTTTCATCACCGCTCTTAGGCTCTAAGATATCTGAAGTGATACACACCATTTTTTCATTCAAGCTAGCACTTTGTAAATTCACGCCTGTTAAGTGAAGGAATACGGCAATCCTGCCATCTGTACAAAGCAGCTCATGAAGCCCAACAGGTAAGAGCCTGATCTCGTCAGCGGCTGCCGGTATACCAGCCTTGAAATCTGAATGACGTAACTGCTTCTGATGCTTAGGAAGTTTCCGTCTGGATGCCATTTGCTGCCCAATATACTCGATGTCGTTTGTCGTGTCGCTAGCAAGAACCACCCGTACCTCAACGGAACTAACTCCGTCAAAGGCAAATAGCTTTAAATCTTTAGTGAGAATGAATGTCACACGAGAGCCACCTGGTTGCTGTAAGTCTCCATTCACTTGCATCGTAGAAAGCGCTAAAGGGTTCGAAATTTGAAGTTCTCCAGGAAGTGTGTGGCATTCAGCCACAAGCTCATCCTCATTTGAAGAATATGTAAGCTGAAGGATGAAAGATTCACTTCCGACTCGCATCAAGAAAGAAAACAGTGGAATAGGGGTCGACTCAACTGCCACCGGACAATTAAGACAACCGTCGCTTTCCGAAGGTGGAAAAATGAAGCCAAGGCTTTGAAAGGTTCGCCGCTTGAGCGAATGCTGACCGGTAAGACTAACAGTGACCTCGTGGTAAAAAGCACACGCAATGGAGTTCGACTGTGAAACTTCTCTGCGTCGAATTGATGGTTCAATCAGGTCAAATACAGTAAGGGAGAATGAGGTGGTCGGCACTGCCCTCTCGACATCCATCACTTCTACTGGTGCGCCAATGGCACATCGGAGCAGCGTCACAGTATCACCATTTGGGTCAATGTAAATGCCAGAATTCACACCATAGTCCTCCTCAACGTCCCACCGCTGCCATAGCTTACGCGCAAGACAGCCGACCAAAAGATGTAGCCCTCCTTCTTGAGTGTCACGCACCAGCACAGCTAAGATAAGAGCACCATTGGTGGCGAAGTATTTAAGCTGAGCGTTATATACGATAAAAAAGCCCTGTGCGACGTCCTTCTTTTTTTTAATGTTAGATCGCTGACCATAACACGAAGTCATGAGTGCATTTAGGTCATCCGAGAAATTGCGAGGTTTTGACCGCAACTTCCAGGGTCGATCCGGCACATGCTCCTGGAGTAGAAATTCGACCCCTTTCTTAGACAGATAGAAAAGACCAGTAAAAGGACCATCGCTGACGACGTGTGTGATAGTTTTAGCCTTCTTGTATGATATATCCCGAACGAGCTTTTCGCCGCTTTGCATGGTCCAGATGGTGGGTGCGTTAACAAAGTCCGCGTAGAAGAGCACCGCACGGCCTGTGAGGCGGTTTTGAATTCTGTCGATTTCCCTCAATCGCAAGACCGAGATACATTTTGAGGGTGAACGATCCCCCTTGCCAGGGTGAAAAAGAAGGAACTCATAGGGAGCTAAATCTATCGAGTTCATCAAAAACACAGTGATATATCGCGAGGATGCTTTACGACTGGCAGGCAGACTATGGTGTCAGTCAGGATCTACTAAAACCCAGGTTAGATTTTGCCGTATGACAGAAAGAGTAAAGCAATAGTAAAGGGGAAAAATGTAAGCTATGCCAATGTTGTTGTTCATCCAATCAAAAACTACTGAAACACACTTAGCTTTTGAATATCGAAATTAACCTTAATGCCGGTTTCACAAGACAGCATTGTAAAGATAGAAAAGGCGTCAGAGACTGAAGCCGTTACGTAAGCAGTTCAATCCTTTGGATTACTTGCACCCACCCCTTTTAGCCAATCGATAATTTCTTCGCGAGTAATTGATGAATTCAGTACGACTTTTTTACGAATATCCATTAATAAAGCTCCAATGTCGCTTGTCTTTATCCCTTCAATGGTTCTCAAATCGCTTCCCTTTACTGGTAGTTGAAGCCTATAGGCATCGAGTAAGCCTTGTTGCGCCTTTATCCGGCGCCATAGCGGTATGTAAAAGTCCATTATTCCCTCTGGCTCCCCGGTGGCATGTAACAGGTTCATGTGCTCCTCCAATATCAGGAAAGTATAAAGAACAATATTGAAAGCGTTCGATATAACAGAAGCATTATTTAAGTGGCCAAGAGCTTCAAAAATGATTAACTTAGTAGAATCTTGCACGACACACTGCTGCAGGTCTGTAATGGACAGGCGATGGCTTCGAAGCACGTTGTAACAGTTCACCATGCCCTGAATACAGTGAAAGGTATGTAATGGAAGCTTTAAACCGTTAATACAGAGTGCGTAAAGGCGCTTTTCCACGTCAAGTGGTGTGGCACCACGATAAAATGGAATTATAAGTTCAAACATCATGGCCATTAGTCTTTCCCTCTCTTCCACAAAGAGGAGTGAAGAGGGGTTTGAGAACAGTGGAGATACTATGGTGTTGAGCTCCACGACGATCGCGAGAGAGACCTGGCCATCAGATTCTTTTTCAAGTAAATATTCTATTCTTTCGATTTCCGATGAAAACTTCTTTTTGCCAGGCAACTGCTTCATATACACCTCCGCCAATAAGTATTTTTGAAGCAAACGCATCTCAAAAAGAACCTCAACGCATCTTTCGGGAAGAGGAGCAGTCATCATTTTGGTGAATTCTTTACCAACACGCTCCCGAGACACCTTCTGGCACAGCTTGTCCAACAGCTCGTCGTCCACACACTCAAGGATGCTGCTATGAAGACAAAAATTCAGTTTTCCCAGTTGTCCGATAAAGCGCACCCCTCGCAGCAAACGAAGCGGATCATCGTGAAACGTTTCCCTTGGAGAAAGTGGGCAACGAATAATACGCTCACGGAGGTCCTCAAGGCCTGTGGTGTAGTCCTCTACCATGTTAGTGTTGAGATTATAAAAGAGAGCATTGATGGTAAAATCCCTTCGGAGAGCGTCACCCAAGGGAGTTGCAGGCCTTACTTGTGGGATGCGGGAGTTTTCACAGTATTCATCCGCTCGAAGTGCGCAGAACTCGACCGGGATGCCGCACACACATACAGTAGCAGTTTCGATATGCTTGGAGAGGGCTGGGTTAACTCGAATAACGCCTACTGTCCGGGCCTGCCCGCTTTCTACCGCCTCAAAGGCCGATACTTCGCTTGCAAATCGCTCCCCCGATATCAAAGTGCTTGAATGTGACTCGATGGCGATATCAATATCGTTAGAATACAACCCGAGAAGCATGTCGCGTATCCACCCACCGGCGACACGAAGGGTAGTATTAAGACCCTTCTCAGCATTGACCCTCAACAATGTTGTGAAGACTTTCTGATGGGCCTCTGGAATGGCAACATCTAGCCTGACAGTTTTTGGGATCACTAACATCAAACAGATGATTCCGAGACGCTATTTTAACATCCTTGAAACAGAAAAGATAAAACAATAGAGACTCAGATAGTACACATCTACTCACTTTACTCTCTTTATACAGCCCCCTCGTCATCATGAATTCACTAGTTCAGCTATATGACAATAGGGTCTTTATATTCGATTCTTCCCCTCCCCTCTTTTCGTTTCACTTTGCTAAAAAAATCAAAGCACGCATTGCCAAAAACAACATTTACATAACTTTCACTAACTTTGCATGACTGAATTTGATGTATAAGCAGAACGGTAAGTTTATGTCGCGAATTCAAGCCACTAAGGTGTCTAAACACCTCAGCTTTCTCTTTTCACAGCGACGGCATTGCGCTTCCTTCTACTATTTCATGAGTAACCTGAGTGCTACGGTTTAAAGCGATCAAATCCTTCAACTTAACTCGCCACTCAACACTAATTTTGCTACGATTGATAGCGAGATCCACAATGCGTTTGTTGGTGCGAAGAAGTCCTTCCAAACTTAACGCCGCACCCTCACTGATACAGTTGCCCGATAAATCAATGCGCTCAAGGCTGGGGTGGTTTGCTACACCGGTACACAGCGCATCAATGCCTTTATTACGGAGACCATTCTCCACAAACAGAATTGCCTTGAGATTATGCAATTTCTCAACCACTGCTAGAAGGGGAAGGATGCCTCTGTCTCCAATATAATTATTGCTAAAGTCAAGTGTTTCGCTGAGGTAAGTCATACTTGGTTTGTCCGGAAGTATCGCAACGATTCCACTATTTACATGAATTCCGTTTTCTACACATGCTTTAATATACACATCGCGCAAGGATGGCTCCTGCACACGCAAAGCATTCACTGAAACTTTTTGTGAAGACTTTGTTGGTTTTCTTAAAATTTTGCGAGGTCGCATAGTGATAATCTTTCGCAAAAAAAATAGAAAAACGGAAAAGGGGGGGATACCAAAAATATTATTAATGTATAATTACATTTCAGATATATACTAATCAAAAAATGCGCCACCGAATATGTCATATTCGTTCAATTAAAACATACGAACGAATCGATGAAAACGATTTGATAAGCAGTCCTATGCTATCGCTAAATAACTTGTTGTTCGTCATATGAGCACGCACAACGTGCGCATAAAACGTTCCTAAATGAAAGAGAAACTACACCACAAGGAACACAAATGTTCATATATATCAACAGAAAAACTCCAAAGTTCTCCTTAAAAGTTCCACCATGCAGTTGGGCAAGTTGATTGACCCATTTTTCCATCAGCTACAACGCAACTGTATACGCGATTATGTGCAGAAATGAATGAGTATAGCGCACATAGGCAGCCAGCGCCAGTGTACAAATATAAGCCATTAATATGCTTCAAGACATTTCGACGAGTACGCTGAGCACGCGAAAAGGTGTTTTCCTCGTTGCCCATGGGCTCCTTCATAAACTGATGCGCGAGACGACGATAATTGGTACGTAACATGATGTTTATTGTATAGAAATGAGTTTATAATCAAAATAAATCGACTACAAATGTAAAGGGGGAGAAAACAACAAGTGAAAGAGGGCAAAAGTGGAAGCACCGTTCCTATTATTAAAAGCAAATAGCTAATAACATAAACATCAAAAAGCTGAGAAGATGGATCTTCTTCTATTTACTTCTATTTGACCTTTGCAACTGCAAACAACAATAGAGAGTGTTAAACAACACAAATTTCAGTATATAAATAGTTAAACGCAGTGTTATAGCTTGATTTATAAATATAAGATATCGTATGAATTATCAAGCTTGACACGACACATCACAGAGATGTCAACCTACAATAGTTATGCGATCACTATGGATAGATAACACTAAATGATCAATTATTGAATAGGATTCGACCACATTAAGTGTGAATATAGTAAGAGAATCCATTCAGATTAATTGTGTATCTTTTAAGAAAAAAGAAATGTATTCCATAGAAATGTGAGGGAAAGTCAGAATTTAAAAAAATGAAAACTAAACAAGAGGGGGAGATCAAATATGTTAATGTATAAAAAATATAGAAGCCAAACGTGTATAAATTTGGCTAAAATGTACAATTCGACATTAGTATTGAAATATGATATATAAATCAATGTTCATTGTATTGAGGTTGAAAAAAAATGTGATTAGCTAAAAAAAAGAAGTGACAGCGCACAACCTACAGAATGGGTGTGATATTTATAAAATGAGCCTGAGCACTGAAGAAATATAAAGAAAGGGCAGTATTCAGGGTATCAATCAAGAAACAAAAAATAGCTTAGGCTCAAACGCCTAAAGCTTTGATTTGTTCTTCATTCTAACTCAATCTGATGAAATAAGCATTCGAATGAGCAATGTTTATATAAAATATTACTCACGATTGCCAATACTGACAATATTTTGTGGCTGATTATGAGTTCCATTCCCGGACGGCATACCTTGAGCCTTCGCACTGCTGACTATATTTGCTAGACCATCAATCGCTTGTGACGAAGTCTTTTTCTCAGCAATGTTTATACGAAGGGGAGTACCGTCTTGCAACGAATCAGGCTTCTTAATCTCCTTGGCACGCGGATCCCAATCGAATATATTATCGATCTGCTCAGGGGGGTCCATTTCTTCAAGAATTGAGTGCAGTAAAGCATGACACATTTCGTAGTGCGGAGTCTCAGTGAAGGCCATATTCCGTACGTAGAACAAAAGGTAACTGAACTGACGGGGACACTTGGCACAAATTTCATTTACTGGCACCTGCTCCTTGAGCTTTCCAATATGCTTCTCTTTTGTATCATAATCTTTTATATTGAGACCCGTCCATGGCAAACGGCCACGATACATATAAGTCATTATGTATACAAGTTGCTCCATGTCATCTCGACGACTCTGTGAAAGGCCTTTATGTGTGTTCAAGGAAGCAAATCGTGACGTACCCAGAAAGCTTTTGCCTGTCACTAATTCTCGATGGCCGCAGCTGGAGGTGCGGTATTTAGTGCTAAGCCCAAAGTCAATCAGGAAAATACGCTGACAATTCACACCTTTCCCTAGAAGGAAGTTATCTGTCTTAAGATCTCGATGAATATAACCAACTGAGTGCACATGCTCCAAACGCGTCAACATTTGGTCAGCAAGCATAACAGTGGTCTTTAGAGAGAAGCGCTTCATTTTTTCCAAAATAGATTCCAATGAAGGGCCATGTAAAGTCATGATTATTACTCTGTAGTCTCCCTCTTGCCCATAGTACTTGAGGGTGGCGATTGCTGCAATGCCGTCCTGAGAACGAACTTTTTGTATATCTTGTATGACGTGAGCTTCGTGAAAGAGAAAGGAGGGTTTTCCGGTATTCCTTTCCATTTTGATGGCAACCGCATCATTGTTAGATGTTTGGATTCCTTCATACACCTCACCAAAGCCACCCTTTCCAATGAGCTTAGTGAGTAAAAATCTCCCTTGGAAAATAGACTGTGGGTATTCCTGTCCTCGATCGAACATTGTTTGTATTGATATATGTATTTTTTGTGTCAAAATACTTGTGATGATTTACTTAAGCCTAAATTGAACTAAGAAAAATAGAAATGTTTTGAATGAAATTTGATTCGAATCCCTTTATGTCTACTTAAGAAAGGAAAGGAAAGAGGCTCCCAAATTGCTAAGGAAATCCAAAAAAAGTATGAAAACCTACACTTTCATCCGACGCATACACACATAATGGGAGTTATACCTGCAAACACTTAGTCGAGTAGGTTCCATAAATTAATTAGGTTGGAAGAATATAGTTTCTCACATGACGATGAAGCGACAAGAAAATACAGCAACGAATCCTAATGGTGATATGTTTTGCCAAGAAAAATCTACCCGAAAAGCTTTTAAAACTAAGGGCTCACTGAAATCCACGGGGTTGCTAATCAAGAAATTGTTCAAGTTGATTCAAAATACCTGGCCAATATGAAATCGGTAATCGACGCTCAATACGGTAAAAGCTCAGATCAGATAGAACGCCACTTGCCTTTAGGACTTTGCAAAGCTTCTCTTTTTCAAGCATGGGTGTTGTTTCCTCTATGCTGGTCGAGTGTGACGTAGAATTTAAAACATCGTCATCTTCATTCACTATCTCAGACGAACACTTGCCCTTTGTTTTAGCCAAAGTAATCAAACCAGATCGCTGAGTGTCCAACTTTGAGCGATACGCTTCTAACTTATGCGAGTATGCTTGGGCGTAGGATTTCGCTTTTTTGCTAAGATTTTCATATTCCTGCAAAAGAAAAGAGTGCAATGCCTTCAGTTCCATTTCGTCCTGAATAAATTTGATAATTTGATTGTTTTCGCATATCGCACATAAAATGGTGGGAAACAAGATGTGCCGAGCGCTAGAAAAGTAGTGAATCGGGAGAAAGCTCAGGATACTTCCTATTAAGGTCTTCCCCTTGCCCCATGAGATCATTTCCTGCAAAAAAGGATTATCCAAACAGAGATAGCCAACCAACAAAATGCATTCATGTAAAGCTGCTCGAAGCGGGTACATCTTTCCACCCGGTTTGTATTCTTCAGCAATAGGATCATTAGGATCTCGGGATGCTAAAGACGAAAATGGGTATCTAGGTAAATGTGCTAGGGTGATGCCAACCCTCAGTGCGTCTTCATACGAAGAGGTTTTACTGTTCCTTGGCGTAGACGGACCCACGTGTGAGGGTATCGCCTCGAGATCCTCCACGTGCTCCTGAATGTAAGCAAAAAAGCTATTAAGAACATGAAAAAGCTCCATCCTGGTAATTTGCAGAGGCCGATCCGAATCGGTGATAGGTGCGTTGTCCTTTGTGGGGGTCCCACTACTCGATTCACCGGCTGCAGTGGCAGCACTCTGCGACGCGACAGCACCTGAGGCGATGGCCTCAGACAGCAAGTCCTGAAAGGTAGAGAGCTGCCACCGTGCGAGCATGTTAAGTGTACGGAAAACACCGAACAACACAACAACCTGAGCGCCACTGAACGATCGCCCAGGCTGAGAGGAAATTTTATCCGCAAGTACCGTGTTCTGAAGGAGTGAGAAAAAGGAAGCAGTGGCATTCTGAAACCAAAGCGTCCGAGATTCATTACGGTACCGAGAAAAAACATTTAACTCTGCATTCAAAACGCGCAGTGCACAGTATGTGAGTTGCGCCTCTGCAGGGGGTGTTTTGATAATTGAAAAGCAAATGCGATCTATGCCCGTTACATCCAACTCATATAACATTTGATCACGCACGGGAGCTATTTTAGGCTGGTTATCAAAGCAAACTTGCTCAAGGCACACATCTACAACTTCTAAAATTTCCAGAATAATATTACCATTGGCACTAGGATTGATACGTTGGCGCAAAAACGCCACTTCTTCCCATGATTCCAGCAACAAGGGCACCAAATCACCACTCTTCAGGAAATATATCACATTTGGCTTGCCTTCTATTTCATCCACAAGCAACCGTCGTAGCAGTCTGGAGGCTTGCTGCATTACAACCACGTCACGCGCCTTTCTTGCATTGGCAATGAGTTTGACAATTATCTCAAATGAATTAAAGTATCGAATGAATTCATAGTCAATACTGCCCAAATCTGATGCGGTGATGTCGTGCAACACCTGCTTACATTGCACCACGGAGATGGAATTCGTGAACGTGGAGAGTCGACTAAAGGCGACGCGAAGCCTACTCCGGTTAAGATCCTTGGTGGAAACGAGACACCCTTTTTGATAATTATCGGAAAAGGCTTTCCCTTGTCGTGAAGAGGATGAGGCAAGCTTGGCTATGCGAGATGACATCTCCTCCTCTTTTTGGACACAAAGGAGCGCCATTGTCTCTTGCACCGTCGTTCTCAACTCCCCTTCACGATCACGCCTGCTCTTGGCTTCACGCTGCTTTTGGCCTTCCCTCTCCAACTTTTGTCTCCTCTTTTCACGTTGTTCTTCCAAAACCTGCTGACTTTGCTGAAACTTTTCTTCGGCTTTGCGACTCAAAGCTTCCATTTCAGCATGTGCTTCCTCTTGGCGCTGGTGAACTTTCTTTTCCCACTCTTCTGCCTTTTGCTGCTTCAATTCGGATTCCAATTTCTTTTGCTCTTCGATACGTCGTAGGATTTCCTGTCGTTGCAGCTCCCGCTGTTGCTGTTTCTCCGCCCTTTCCTCACTGAGGTTCCTGCGTCGCTTGGCGGCAGCCGTCATGGCTTCCCGCCGCTCCTGTGCACGACGTTCCTGGGCTTCTCTTTTAGCTTCCTGGTTATGCCCTATTTCGCTCATTTTTTTGTCGAGTAAGAGAACTTTGGTTTGGTGGCGTAGCTCATTGGCAAGCCGGACTTCATCGACACGAGAATGCGCTCGCTGTGCGCGCTCAACTGTCTGCTTTCGTGCTTCCTCAACCCGTCGAACAGCATTTTCCTGTCGATCCATAGCTTCGAGTCTCTGTCGCTGTTTTGCTGCTTCTCTCCTTGCTTTTGCACGCTGACCACGTGCTTCAGCAGCTTCTAAACGCATTCTAATCTCATTGAGATGATAGAGACGACGCTCCTCTGCCTGCCGCTGCCGCTCTTCGTTTCGCAAGGCGGATGCGTGTCGCGCATCTTCGATATTATCTCGGGTGATTTCATCGGATACAAAGGGTGAAGCATTGGGGGATTGTTTCTTTTGTCGCATAATCGCCGAGATGTGGCTTTTAAGCGCACCCCGAGAGTGCGTTGGGGTCGAAATTTGTGGCGACTCTTCCCGATGCAAATCTTCCTGAAAATCTAACATTATAGGAGAACAAATACTCGAATTTTTTTGTATATGGGCACGTCGTGCGTCAATTCGGCGTCCTAGCTTGATAATCTTAAGCTCCTTCAGGCAATCTTCGGTGACCGATATGAAATCATTCACGTTGTACGTATTACCCACGGAGCTTAAAGAATAAAGTACCTCATTTACAGCCGACTTCAGTTTCTCAAGTAAAATAAAACTAGAAGCTGGATGAGCATCTATCGGATGAACAGCAGGAGACGAAGATACTGGAGGAAAATAATGGGGATTATAAACAACATCAAATTTCTCATCCAGCGGGTCTACTAGGGTATCGATACAGGGATCTTGATAGTGCATGTTCAAGTTGAGGATATACTTGTTATTTTAATTTCTTCACTAAATGTAAAAGAAAAAGGGGGGAAAATTATTCTAACGAATGATGGAATAAGAACGCTCAGAAAAAATACTTAGCACCGGTTAAGCTTACCCAGGCGGAAAAAAAATCGTATTCATTCTCAAATTTTCTATACTAAAACATGTTAATCTGAACTTTACCACACACACGCACGCACATACATACACTTCTATATATATATAAATATATATATTGGAAAATGATTGATAACATTTCTTTATGCCTATTACACCATGAATAACAAATTTCTTCTTGTAGTGCTATACTACTACTTTTTGAAAAAAATCATGAATATCCTTTGGTTTTTTTGTCAAACCGCAATCGAAAGTCATAAACTTGGTCGGAAAACTATGAAAAACAAAGGAAGGATCACTTCAGCCGTATAATATCATCGAATAAATAATCATTTGGCCGCTAAGGCATATTTTTACGGTTAAAATAATTAATAATATTTCGCTGATATAGTACAAAGAAGTTTAAAATAATCAACTATAAAATAAAGCATAATAAAAATAACTAAATAAACCGGAAGATATAAAAGCATCTGCACATAAATAAAGTTTTAGAAGCATTTATTATGCACGATAGATGGCCCAGCTTCATCGTATTCTGCCTTTGTAATCCACATTGATTGGAATGTAGTCAAAGATGACAAAATTGATCCGCCAATCCATACGCTGTATTTGCGTTCCGGTGGTGCCACAACCTTCAGTTTAATAGAGGATTGCGCAAGATTCGTGACCTCTTTGCTCAGCCGCTCCGGCAGATTTCGGAACATTGTTGAGCCACCAGAAAGAACAATATTGCCATACAAATCGCGTCGTACATCAATATCACACTTGTTAATAGATTGACATATCATATCAGGAAAGCCAGGGACCTCATCAAGCCCAATCAAGGACGGCTTGAACAAAGATTCCGGGCAACGGAAGCGCTGATTACCTATATGGATCATCGAGCCGTCAGGTAGCTCATACGCTTCCAAATTTGCTGACTTGGCACTGCTGGTCATCTCTTCTTCGAAATCTAATGCAACATAACAAAGCTGCTCCTTTATGTTTCGCACAATTTCTTTTTCAGCAGTCGTCATGAAAGTCATACCAATTTCGGTCAACAGCTTCATAAGATATTCCGTAAGATCACGCCCAGCCATATCCACTCGACGAATGGCGTGTGGCAATGAATATCCTTCATAAATGGGAACTGTATGGGTGACTCCATCACCTGCATCGAGCACAATACCAGTAGTGCGACCAGACGAGTACAGTGAAAGGACTGCCTGAATACTTACATACATCGCCGGCACATTGAAGGTTTCAAACATAATTTGGGTCATTTTTTCACGATTCTGCTTAGGATTCATCGGTGCCTCGGTAAGAAGAATGTTATATTGTTCAGGATTCACACGGAGTTCATTATAGAAGGTATGATGCCAAATCTTTTCCATATCATCCCAGTTAGTCACGATACCATGTTCGATAGGATATTTGAGAGAAAGAACACCACGCTTCACCTGTGCTTCATCACCAACATAAACCTGCTTGTTGATATTTCCCATTAAAGCCTGCTGAGTTTTAGGGCGGCCGATGATGGACGGAAATACATGGCGTGGGGCGTCATCACCAGCAAAACCGGCTTTCACCATTCCAGATCCATTATCACAAACAATTGGAGTTTGTTCGTCGGACATGGTTGCTCAAAGAAACCTTATCAATAGTTTGAAAAAATACGTGATTGTATTAAACCTAGATAATAATAATGGAAATAATAAAAATAGAAATGATAAAAATATTAGGTCCAGCATCAATATACCATGACAAAGAAAGATTACGCATAGAGTTATATTCGCTAAAAAAAAACTATCTAGCAGGCAAACAACCGTTGTAGTAAAGGTTTTCCGTCATGCTTCTGATATATATTATTATACATGCCAGTAGGTGATACACGGAGGGGAAAAAGAAAATTAACAGGGGAATTTAAGTGTAAAGAATGTTATAAATAAAAGGAAGCTAAAATGTTTCAGGATACTCACATAATGAAAATACTTTATGCATTTTCTGTTGGGTAGTTTTACAAGTATGCAACAAAACATATTCATAAATTTATATTTGAAACACAATGCAAGGGGAAAACACCATTGATTTCTAAGACCTTTTAATTTGAAATATCACGAAATTCCTTAATATTTACGCTAATTTCAAAGACAAATGTTAACCTTTTTGCTAAGCATATTTCCGTAATCTAAATTAACCTATTCACTCTGATTGCATGTCAAACGTTTCATTAAATAATAAATGCTGATTTGAGTTTTTCAACATAAAAAACTTTTCAAAAACTTTGAGTCTAAATGAAGAGATAATATGTATCCTTTACCAACTGATAAGAACAATTTAGTGAGGAAAAAGTCAGACAAACCTGATTTAGACGCCAGAGACTAGTATCGGCATGTAGATTATATATATATATAACGAAATTTAGATAATAAGAATAATGAATTCATAATGGACTTGATGCAAATAAAAAATTCTCACTCAGGATAAAGGGCATGAACGTAATTAATACGGTTGCTGCTCTATAGAAGAATAACAGTCTGGCAGTTTAACCAACACTTCTATAACCAAATAAGATACAGGATACCCTGACATAATTTAAATATCAGAACACATCAAAAATACTTAAAAGGTTTATTTTTCATCCCATACTAAATATTTAAAAGCTCCGAAGAAAATAGCATGAAACAGTCATGGAGGAATAAATAATTCAGCTCCATGAAAAGAGAAAAAACATTAGGAAGAGACAGAGAGGTTGCCCTGAATGTTTCTTTTTTCAGACATGTCGCGAAGCTTTAAAAAGGACTTCCTAAATGATTTTGACTGATTTTACTTTCTATTGGAAATCCAAAGTAATAGATTCAATACAATTTTATAAATGTAACCAAGTTAAGGTTAAAAAATAGGAAACTAAGCATTCAGTGAGAGTCCCGCATAAGGGAGACCATGAAGAATTCTACAACCCTTCTTCATTTAAATAGTTACGCAACTCCTATATATAAATAGCTTTCTATAGTACGTCATGAATTTTATTTTAGATAAGAGGTAAATCATAGGAGCAACCACTACTTTTTTTTAAGCAAACTCAACCATCTTAAACAGCTTGCTATAAGTAAGAAACAGATGCCCAAGAGTATTTTCATATGAATAGATTCGGGTGATGTGACCTTGATAAATTCGCATAATTACCAATAAGTTTTATGGTAAATTATCGGACTTCAGTAATTTCAAATCTAAGGGAAATTATGTTGACTGAGAAGCATTAGTTTGATGCACTGTTGGATGATCATGAAGTTTATTCCGTATCAGTACAAAAAACTAACAGATAATGGGTGAATATTAGAGTTCATATCAATTTTGTCAAAGGAAGGGCGCATACTATTTTCTGAATATTAATTTTCTACCATTAATATTCATTGTTAATATCGTTAATTGCGAAGAGTGACAGAACACCTTGCAGCATTTTATCTATAAGTACAGACATTACACACACATCCAAAGCACTAATTCAATATCTGGCTCGTTTAAATGAGGCCCTGGATAGGGAGTTTTTCAGCTTAAAGAAAATAACATACCATCTATTTCAAAGAAAAATTAGCAGCACCGTTTATAATGAAACCTGAATGTGC